GAATTGAAGTGCCGTGATCCGCACACGCTTTAGTAGTCGGAGCTACGGGGCGTGGCGTATGACGGGCACTTTCACCGGCCAATCAGGATTGGCAGATTGAGATAAATGCTTTTATCAGGGCTGCAGGAGGCTGCATCCCATAGCGAGACACCGAGTGAATATTATGAAAAAGAACAAACATTACATGTCCGTTTGAAGAGGATGTTATTAAGGAAAAATTGGCACTTTTTTCACAGAGAGATTTTTATAGAGCAATATATATATATATATTTTTTTTTAGATTACATATAAATAGATTAATTAATTCTACTGGGGTAAATGGAATTACTTTAGGGTTAGGATTAGGATTCACTCGGTGATATCAACCTATTGAGCCAACTGGCACAATCTGAAGCCATTCAACCGCTAATAATGACTATTGAGGTGCTAACATCACAAGCGGCTGCAAAAAGTCACTTAGTATTTACTGTGTAAAAGAAGACAGACTCAACATGAGTATGAACCCCATTAAAAGGTGCACAGGTTATATCAATTAGAACAAAGTTTTTAGACCCTAATTTCCCCCTGCTGTCAAATAATTTCACCCTAAATAGATACACTGAGCCACTAACATTTAAGCGATAAACCTGTATTGTTGTCATGGTCAAATCAGGCCATGGAAGCAGTTTTAATATGTAATAGTTTTACTGAACATGCTGGTGAAGATTCAGGTCATATCCATTCAAAATGGATATGACCTGGTTGTTATGAAACCAAAAACTCAAAGTTCCCTACTTTAAGCTAGATCAAGCTAGATGAATTATTACTAGGTTGTTAAAGCTGCAGTCTGTAACATTGAGGAGAGAGCAGACTTCGACTGAAAAGTTGAAGAAAAACAGGTTTCACGCCACTCCCCCACCCTCTCTGCTTCACTCATGCCCCACCTCCAAGCTCCACCCCTCTCACAGCATCTGCGCGGCTACCGCATGCGACCAGAAGGGGGGGGGGATTCAGCGTGTGTGAGCTGTGATTGACACTCCATCAGACGCTCCTCTGGCTGTGATTGGTTGTTTTGACTCGTCCCAAATTATTCTTTCCAGATTGAAATACAGGCAGTAGGCGGTACCAATTGAAGCAGTTTTTTTCACAGGTTACATATCACATGTACTGCTGTCTGGGCATAGGGACAGTTTAGCCAATATGACAAAAAAGTGATTTTTAAAAACTTACAGACTTCAGCTTTAAACTAGCTTTGTGAAAATGACCACTTTATGCAGCTTTCTTCCCTATGGGAAAATCTGAAACAGTTTGTGTTCATTGGAGTAGTGGAGATGTGATTTTAGCTGCTGAACTGCTAAACAGTTCTTTAATAGAAGAAAAATGACAGCCATTCATCTATGCAGAGCCAATCATCTGCCCTGGTTCCTGGAGTGTGACAGCAGCTACGAGGTGGTGACAGAGGAGGAGCTGATGTACTTCAAGACAAAAATCCGGCCCCTGAACACTTCCCCCAAGCATTAATCCTCTGTTTACGCGTTCCTGCGCAGGGTCCACATTAAAGACCTGGGAGGGATTGCCTTCGAGTCAATGCAATCAACTGGTTTTCCTTAGATAGCTGAGAAATGATGTGTCTAGCTTTATGTGATTGTCTTCTACTGGCAATGGCAAGTTAAATAGGAGCCACTTCCCTAAATAAACTCTGTTGCAGGTGTGTGACTTCAGGTGGGAATCACTCCTGTTAAATCACTGACATTTGATATCAACAATCACAGCCGCTCCAGTTAGTCAGAGTGGTTTTACCCGACATGCCGCAGAGTGTTTCTGAAACATCGGCCCTTTCATGCATCTCAAAATTCTGCGGCTGGTCTATTTTTCACACTTGATGCTTAAACTCCACGTCAATATGGAGTACAGTGAATTGTTCAAGCAGGAAGTCAGTGCCTAAAGAGAAAGGTGTATCCACTGAAGTTTCAAAGTTAAACATTACATATGCACACTGTGAATTGCATTTTACATAATAAACATTACCAGTGGCTCCAGCACAGAGCCTCCAGAGAACCTTACTTCATACGACACCATGGATTACAAAAATGTTTTGAAAATGTGTGAAAAGCACACCACTTTATGTGACATCTGTTGTATATCAATAAAACCAGAAAGAAGAAGGCATGAGCTGTTTTGTCTTTTACTGTCTTTTTATGTTTTATTTAAATTTCTGTGCAGCACTTTGATCGGCTGTGGTTGTTGTATAATTGCTTAACAAATAAGATTGGATAAGATTGGATTGGTCTGACAGGTACTGGAAGGTGACCAAATAAACGTGAACTAGGTCCAACAGCTCCCAGTCCCTCCTCTCTGAAACTCTCCTGTGGAATGGTTGGCAGAAACACCCTGACTGGAACCTTGTGGTTACGGAAAAGACATCTCATGTCGTGCTGAAAACATACTCATTAACCTTTTTCTCCTAAATCTCTGGTGAGATAGGGTTAGCTGCATCTTTAAAGTTTATCAGACTGCTTGCTGCTCTGCAGGTAGAAAGTGCTTAAAAAGTGCTCCTTCCTGGGTTAAAAAAGCGGCTCCGTGACTTTTATGAATAAAGAGTAAGGCAGCTTCATCTGAGGAACACAACATTGGATCGCTCTGACCTGCAAAATGTCTGCTCTCTGTTAAGGCAGTCATAGCTCTAATGGCACAAAAAACTCAGCATTTTCTGTCAGGGATTTGTTGTCTATCTTTGCAAGATGAAGTAATATTTAAGACCTTTACCATATGTATCGTTAAATTTGTTTCTGTCTTGCTGACATGACCTAGCCTGACGTAGTCCTACTCAATTCTAGTCAGAATATGAGTCTGATACTGCTCCATAGAGCTGTGATTATGGGGCGTGTTTCGAACGAACCAGGAAAAACGGAGTGCGTGACGTATGTTAAGCAACGCATAGTTGTTGTCAACAAAAATCAAAGCGTGCAGTTTCACGCCTAGAATAAGAAGATGAGCCTTGATCCCGTTTCTCTGTTCCTCTTTTAAAATTAATTTGCTGTCGATATCTTCTAGAACAGACCTAATAGCAGAATCTACACACCTCAACTCTACAGAGGCAGCCATTATTGTTGTCACCCAAGCGCGCTTTGGTGACGTGGTTGATTACGTTACTTTTGATCATCTGTCCATCATCGTATAAAGCCCGCCCTGACGATTTGATTGGCCCGCCAGATATTGTGCGAGCATACTCACGCTACTATTAAGCAATGCCAGACCGAACTTCCCGACCTCAAACGTTGTGGGCGGGACTAAGTTTGGAATGGCACCCAGGCTAGACATGACCACCTGGTGTGTCCTCAACTCCAACATCAGGATCAGATGGGTGTAGCTAAACAAATAGACAATCCTACTGTACAGTCTCAACTGTTTAAGGAAGATTTTGACAATGATATTTTTACTCAAGTCTAGGCATGTCACAGTTGTCATGATCTTGATGCTGATGGATGGCTTAATTGCTCATTCCATTCACCTGTCTAAATCTGCCCGGTTCCTCATTACTGCTCATCTGAACCATCTGTTCCAGCTCTTATTTATGCTGCCTGTTTTCCAACCATCAGTGCCAGATTATTCAAACTGAGTGTGAGTGTTTTCTAGGAATCTATGAGTTTCTGAGATCCTGATTCTGACTAGTTTCTGTCCCTTCACTTCTGAGTTTTGGTTGCCCCTGTTCTGCCGCTTCTGTTGTCGGACTGTTACCAGGATTCTGCCTGCTAACTACCTTGGACCTGTCTTCTGACCCCAGCTTGGATATCCCTCTGGCCTGGAAAACTGCTCCTACTACGACTCTGGTTCTGGATTCTCCCTACAAATACTTCTGTTCCTCTTCATCTGCTCATCAGCCGGCTCAGCTTCTTTCCTGCAGCTTCTGCCCATAGAGTTCCCCTCAGACTTCTGCTGAAGTTGTTCTGACAACAGTAGCAGAAGTCTATAAATGTGACCAATTACAACTGGTGCAGGTATGGAAAATCACAACTGCTGCATATCCCGTAAAAAGTTGCACAGTGGAAAATTTGTAATTGTAAATCTAAAAAATAAAATGTTACTTGCGATGCATACATTAAATAAATAAACATTTTATATCCTAAATAAATAATGTAATTTTAATAGTTATTTAAACTTATGCATATTTTTATTGCTTCCACCACCACCAAATTGAGCAATAAAAACTATATATAAATTAGGGCACTGTCCCTTTTCCGACTACAAGAGTGACCCTTCAGACTAACAAACTGGGGTGTTTGCCAGGTAGATTTTGATTTAGGCAAATATGAATATGCCTAATTATCCATAAGTTTTTTCACAGAGACATTTGGTTGGTTCAACTAAGGGTATGATGGCATTTTCAATTTCAACTACACAGTAATAAGTAAACTGCAGGGGTCCTGATTGCCTCTTGTTTTCTAGCTCAGGTGAACCAAAAGATGTCCATCTAGGACATTCATGGTGTGGGATGTCAGGCCAACAGGACTGTAGTCATTGAGAACTTTTGGCTGACTTTTCTTTTAGATAGATATATAAATACATATGAATAAAATACATTGCTTTGTTTTGATGTAAAATGGAATATTTAAATTGCAATAAAGCGAATTCTACACAAATTCATCAATCATTTGAATATTTTAAAATTGACACAACCAGACAAATATTTGTTGAGTAATGACAGAGGTGCACTTTTGTTTCATTTCACATCAGTATATAGCGACATATTTTAAAGTGAGTTCCTGTTTAATATAACACTTAATTGCCTAGGTGTCAAACATCCTTCTAAGCATTCAACAGCCTAGCAAGACACAGGAAATCAAGCGGTGTTTCTGCTAATAATTAAATAATTGCCTGAGTGTGTCAGTGTGTTAGCACACTGTCTTGCAGCTCTTTTCTTACAGCTCTGATTGGCTGCCTGAGAGTCTATCCCTGGCAATCTCTCTAATCCTCTTAGATAAAACATAGCCTTCTTCCAATCCCCTACACCAATCCCCTCCCCTTCCCACCTTTATTTCTCAATCTCCTTCTCTCTCTTTCTCTACCCGTCTCTTGCATATTGGAGCATAGTTTGATCCAAATGAGCTATCTTTCAAACTGGGCATCTTTGGATAGGAGCAGAAGCCACTATGATTAGGAATAAAACTAAAGGAGCTATTTACAAATACAAATCTGCATTTCTCCACATTATTGATTGTGTATTTAACTAGTTGGGAAAGGATTTTCCTTTCCATTAATTTCTGTGCAAATGTCTATGAAATCTTAACGGACTGGTGGGAGGATTCCTGAGAAGGATCAAAGGCTTGAGAAGATGCCACTTAAAGAACAAATTTACCAAGACTCTACGGAATGGTAAAGGGTCAAAAGTTAACCAAGAGAAAAATTGGCATCTTCTTTGTGTTGCAAGTATGAGAAAGCCATTACTTTAGAGCATATGGCCATCCGTTCAAACTTTAAACCCCTGCACACATTTAACAAAACTGCCCTGAACGAAGAATAACTTTGGGAAAACACCAATTCAAGAACATTGGGAATGAAGAACCTATTGAAGATTCTGGGATATTTCTGCTTGTGGATTATGGTTGAAGCTCAAATGAAGATCCCACCAGAGACGTAAGTACCTCTTTGCCTTTGTCATCCAAGGTGCTCGTTTCCTCTTATGGTCACAATAAGAAGACAACAATACATAAAGGATTTGCTAGGGTCAAAATTAGGATCTAGATTAGGAACAGTATAACCCTGGAAATTTAGACAACTGCCATTTGTAAAACATGTTTCTTTGTCTAGAAGTAATATTACTGATATCTAATCTGCTGAGGTAGGTAAAGATGAATATCATAGTAAGCCTTGAAGACCTGTTACTTATTGCAAAAGATGAATGGTCCAAAAGACATGAAAAGCTTGTCAGCAATTTTAGAAAGGGTTTGATAAATGTCATGCAATTTAAGACTTTTCAACTGACTATTTAGAAGGGTTTTTAATCTTTTTATGAAAACCTAATAAAAATTAAGAAATTAGAGATTTTTTTTCTGTCAAGTAAGGGTACCTCTGTAACATTATCTTATTGTTGAGGTCAGGGTAAACTTTGTTACTACAATAAATAAATAAAAACATTCTAAATTAGTAGACAGTAATTTCTTTGCATGTCAGGGAAATTCTTTTTTTTTTTTTTACATTGGTATTCCTTCTGTATTATTGGTTTTCTGTTTTCTTGTATATGCTCTTTCTGTTCAAACTTAAGGAAGCCATGACAGATGGCCATAGGCTAAACTGCAGCTTCCTAAATGTTTCTAAATTTCTCTGTTTACTGTTGTTAGAGGTTTAACCCTTTGTAGGGCACTCAGTGAAATGCATTTAAAATAGATGACATTTCAAGCCAATAGTGTTATTGGAATCCAAAGCCTTTATAACATTAAAAAAATACGGGAAAAATTAATGTCAATGTAATTACAAGAAATGCCAACTTCTACGACTGTATTAAGAAAAATAACAAAAGTACTTCTATAAGAAATTCATTAAAAAAAACACTCTGAGAGTGAAAGAAACACATTTTTAGTTTATAAACCTAAATATAATTGTTAAGTATGCTTATTAACTTTTTAACTTTTTAATTAGCTTTTAATCTTTTTTTCTTGACTTGTTAACTTTTTTAGTAGGTAATATATCATTCAAGGGCTCATCTAATTGGTCAAACACCAAAATAAGATGTACAGCCATGTAGCAGTATTTTTGCTGAATGGCTGATATAGATCTTGTGCTTCTAGACCTGACTGACAGACAGGGGGACTCCATTTTTAATGGGTATGCAAGTGATCAAAAACAGTATCTTGCCCTATAAAGGATTAAGCTGTGTAGGATAGTGGTGCAAAACAAGCAGCATAATTCAGCGTCTATTTATTGTTGTTACAAACCAGGAGGGATAAATACTTAGAATCATTCAACAATTAAATTAACTTCTACTGTAAAGTGTATTTAGAACAAATTGTGAATTGGAATTATATAAATAAAGTAAAATAAATGATTTAGTAATGAAATGAATTAGTAGTTGTGATGGTAAATGTGTTCTTTTCCTTTCTCTTAATATTTGGCAGTCCTTTCTACAAAGTATATACTGAATTATTTAAAGGCAATCGTGTACTTTAATTTCAAAGAATAATTATTGTATTTACTTCCATATTCCATACTCCCTGAGAATTTACATATTTACTCAAACATATATTTTTTTTTTTTTCAAAAAAGTTGCAATAGGTTGCATGTAAATACAATTCAAAAAATTTGCCTGATGGGTATTATGATGATGCTGAAGGATTATTCCGGTTTAGAGTGAGTATTCCTATCCATTACACGCAAGCTCTGTATGAGAGACTATTGCAAAGTGAATGAGGCAATAAAAAAACACAGTCCACTTGGCTACATGCTGATCTACAGTAGGAGAAGTAAATTCTGCATGACTCAATGCAATCTGTATGAAGTTGATTATGGAGATAACTTTTAAACCCATCTGGTTGAGATGACTCCCTTAAGATGACGTCGTATTAACTTGGGTTAACAGAAAGCATCAACAGAATTAATTCCACACAAAATAACTATTTAATGATGTTAACTTTCTCACTGCATGTCTGTTTTTTCCCAGGGTGCAGCAGTGGGCATCAGTGTTCTCTGTTCAGCTCCGAGAGTTTACAACCAAATACTCTGGCTCTATGTTACTTCAGAAGGTAAAATATAACAGTTTATATTGATCTATTTCTATCAGGTTTTAGCCCTTATGGAAAGATTACAGACCTTTCCTCCAGGAATTGTTAATGAGAGGAAACCATTTAAACAAAGATAAGAATTGATTATAAAAATAATTCAACACAAATTTTACTTTTTATTTGCAGTTTTCTTTTGTTTTTTTCAAATTGCTTAAATATGCACTATTCAAATCAGATTGTAGAAGTAATGCAAAAAAAGCATCTAAATCACAGACAAATTTTGAAACTTTTGTGATTGAGATGCAAAATCTGGTGTGAAAAAAAAAGGTTATACGTAGCTAGATTTCTCAAGGTACTAAAGATGACACAACTACAGAGGGCAGTTCAGTTAAGTTCATTGTGAAGGTAAGAAATGTCACCTTTCATTATAACTGTAGGGTATATGTTGTCATGAGACCTTCAGAGTAGATTCTTGAGATATTCTAGCAGTCCCCAGTGGCAGTGCTAGAGTATTATTGTTGAGGGTTTGGGGCTAGAAAAGGGTCAAAGCTATCTAATGGTTCCGTAAAGGACCACCGCAAACTTTGTGACCTAAAGAGTTTATGCATATGATTTATTTTAAATGACTCCTCAGGTCAATAAACAGCGCTTGACACTATCAATGCTACAAGCAGGGCTCCCCTCTTGAAATGCAGACTATTAAGTTGGGCGAAGACGTACCGTCGTTGGCCAGTTAATGTGACCTGGAAAAACTTTATGGCCACAGGTTCTTATATAGTCATGGAGCTAAGGCTTTTGCTCTACTATTTTTCCGCCTGCTCGACTCTTGGTCATGGCTGAGGCAAGGAAAAAGTCCTTATCAGGAAACTAAAGAGAGAAAAAATGTGTGCCAGGAAAAACAATACTTGATCTTGGAAAGGAGTTTGTTGTAGCAGGCTGAAAGAAGAAGCCGTATGTAAAACTGATTCTCTTTAAACAACTTTATTATTAGACTGGTAAGATAACACTTTGCTCCTAGTATATAGTCATATATCCTTGCTATTATTTTCGATGTTTAGTAGAAGCAAAATACAGGCAGAGAAAGCTGCAAACACAAGCAAACTGAGGACCCCGTCCGACCCAGTGGCTCTTCGGTCGAGCCCCACCTCTGGTCCTGAGCGCCACACAGTGCGGTCCGGCCTGCCCCGTCAGTGCTCTCCAGAGAGCATCAGCATTTCTCACACCCTTTGAGCTGAGCCTAGATGCCTAGCATCCCCAATCAAAAGACACAGGAGGCTGGCTGGCTGGCTGGCTGACTGTTTGTTGACTTTTGCAACAGTGCTGTGGTGCTGGCCACTAGATGTGAAAGTTACAGTTCTAACACCCCTACTGGCCAAACGTTTCACAGTGTGCCTTTAATCAATTGTGGGCTATTGGAGCTTTAAAACATTATCTTTGTTAATGGGAAGCAGACTGCCTGTTAACTGACACTGGCTCATGCTCTCTAGTGATGTTAGAAATATTTAGAAGAAGAAGAAAAAAAAAAGAAATTAGGCTTGCTTACCTAGAGTAAATAAAAGTATTAAAAACTCACCTAAGAGGCACAGTAAGTTAGGGAAAAGTTGTCTTGTGATCCTCTGTAAAACAGCCAATCTGACATCAAGGCACCAATCCCACTCCATGACAGTTTTGTTTGTTTCATTATAGGTCTACTACACTAAAGACATACTAAATAAAAACAGAGGCAAATAATTATATGTATTTTATATTAATTAAAATAATTAAATTAATTCAAATATGTTTAAGCTTTTAATGCTAGACTTTAGTATTGAGTGTTCATTTCATGGTACATTTATTTATTTAATTATGTATCATAATAAACAAGTAGTGTATTCATATATTATCGTAAACCTTAATGGTACATTTATTTAATAATAAAGTCAGTATATATGTCCTTATTTCATTTTGTCACTTTTAACCCTCAATTTTTTATACTTTGAAAAGTCTTTTGGTGCTTGTAAAGTTATGGACAATGCCATACCAATCAAACATACACAATCCAGGTGTTCCCGGATACAAATTAATCCTAAATACTAAGCTGCAGCTACAGATATATAGAAATCTCAGTAATATTGAGGTTTCTATATATCAGCACAGGTGTTTTCTTCCGCTTACATGGATATCTATGGGATGCCCGCTGCTCGTTAAGCTATTTTTGATGTTCACTTTGGTTGTCAGTTGTCTTCTTTTTGCTGTTATGTTTTATGTTCCTCTCATCTCATACATGTGTGAAAGCAGACTTCTAGGAGTTATTGTACATCTTCCATTATATATGATTTCACTCCCTAAATATGTTTAAATAGAGCTTTATATATAAGTACTAAGTGGAACTTCACCACAAAAATATCATAATGGTGTGCTTGTGAAAGCAAATCTGTTCAGCCCTGGAACACCTCTTCCTAGAGCTATATTAAAACAACACACAAAAACTAAACATTTGTAGTGTCAAGATGTGTAGGTTACATCTAGAGAGGAAAATGTGCTACCAGGAAAAAAAATATTGTCCAAATACATATATTTTTAATTTTTTTAAAATCTGCTGTCTTTGTGAGTCACTTAGAAAGCTGAAAACGTTATTAGATATTTCAATATCACATGTTTAATACAGTGGACATCGGAACTCCACACTCCGAACTGAGCCTCGATTGCAACGAGTTACTCAGAAAGAATAACTTTGAAAATTCAACACAGCAGTGAATTTAACATCATCCCTCTCCATAACTCTCCATCATCATTTTAGTTTAATTTTGCTGAGTTTATTTAGTATGATACTTCAAAAAGTTATTTCCCTTCATTAAAACACACAGGAATACTGTGTACTTCTTGCACATCACATATGTTTTGCTGTGCAGCAGGATGTGTAACACCTTGTTGCATGTGTTTCATTCACCATTTCCGGAAGATGAATGGCACCCTAGTGTCTCAGAGCCACATTTGCTGGTTTCCACTTTTGTTAGGAAGAGTATATTCATCTTCCCTTTCACTTGTTATTGTGATTCCAGTTTGGGCCTGAGTAATCATCTCTTCACCGAGGAGTAGTTTGAAGTCAAGGAACTTCTTTGGTTTCTTCCTCAGAACATGGCAGTCACTCTTACACTGAAGCCGTGAATCGGCGATCGCCAGGTCAAAAAAATGGAAAATTGCACTCATTTTCCATTTTCGAGTGTGAGATGCCAGCCTGTAGAAACTCCTCAATCGGTCAACCAAGTCCTCACCACCCATGTTTTTGTTGTACTGAGCCCCTACCAGCGGCACTGACACCTGGACAAATGCTTTTTGCTTCTTGGACCATCTTCTGCATGTCTCCTGAGATTCAATGCCATAGGCAGAGGATGCCGTGACAACTGGTTTGTTGTCCAACCACTTTATAACAGCAAGTTCGGGAGATTCAGACAGGGCATCTGCTTGCTCTGTCTGAATTTCATCCTCAGAACTCTCTGACTCATCTTCCTCTGGTTCTCCCTCAAACATTGGATCTTGAGCTTCTTCATCAGACAACTCAGTATCATCTACAATCTGCAGCAAAAAAATTCACTCTGCTTCTGAGAATGACACCCTTTCTTATAATTTTATAAGAAACACACACAATGGCAGAAATAACTTCAAATGTCCAATACGGAGGAAATTTTTTTGAAATACTATGTTAAAAGACATTTAAAGTTATTCAAAATATGTTTCAATGTGTTGTTAAGACACTTTAAAGCCTAAATTTGCTAAAAAGTATATATATCTGGCAAATACTTTCTGTTGAACTATAATGTGCCTTGAATTGACGTGTTTTGTTAAGTGGCCCTATATAAACTTTTCCTCTTTACATAAAATGTGCTTGAACTGATGGACGCCATCTTTCTGAGTGAGGAAGAGTTATGTACCAAAGGCCCACCCCTTCACATTTGGTATCATTGAAAAGCCCTAAATCTCCTTTGTAGAAATCAAAATGAGTTAACTGAGAAATATTCAGTGGATAGGAGATATTCAGGTTTATAAATGTCCTCCACAGAGGACAAATTTGAACTAGTGGTAGTCAGGACGATTTAAGAAAAAAATTGCAAAAACTGAAAGCCAAGAACTCGCTTGCTTGTTTTCTGATTGATGAATGTTTTTATTATTATTATTATTATTATTATTGAAACCTAAATGTACTAGGTTATTTTATCTTTGAAATGTGTAATATCAATAGTTTACTTTTTTTGAAAATATCTGCTGTTGTACTAACGAATCTATCTTTGCTGACCTTATGATTAAACTAATGTAACTGCAAACTATGTAACTTTAAACTAACTCCTCCTTTTTATTTCAGAAACTACAGGATGTGGGGTCTATTGTTAGGATTATTGATTTGGATGGAAGTGAATTACTGAGGGACTACTCTGGGGACATTGAACAAATGTTGGGGAGTAAGATGAAGTCTGTAAAGGTAAATCCCCTCTAATCAATGAATGTATAAATAAGTACTTAATGAATTAATGAGATACTAAATGAATCAATCAATCAGTCAATGTTTTTGGGCTCAGATTCATCACTGTGTGTAGATGTGTGCAGGAGGTTCTATTGCTGTAGAGATAATACCTGCTACATTTTCAGTTCTTTAACATAACATCTGTTAAAAATGTCAAGACATTTACCTTTTACATATTGTTTTTTTGGCCAAAAATCTCAGTAAGCTAACTCTAAAATAAAAAGAGAAAAGCAGCTTTGAACTATTATCATTTGAACTATTGAACCTTTAGAAAGGTGTGTTTTGCTTTGGTATAATTTAACCAACTAAATAAAGTGAAATGTATGCATCACCCAAAAGGTCATAGCTATCAAAGTATTGGAAAACACAGAGGCTCGCATGGAATTTCTTTCCTAAAGACTACAGATTTTTGCTATATTGGCACAAAATAGGCTAAAGACCACAAGTGAAAAAAATAATTTATCTAGGTTATCTTTTCTTGAAAACAAGACATCAGTTGACCCTAATATCAATGAAAAATGTTTGGGTTGAACCACTAACTCTAAATTAACTCAAGTACACTGAAAACACAGCTTTTTAAAAAATTTTAAAGCCTAGTCAAATGTTGATAGTGATGTCAAAAATGTACTAAAGTGAGAGGAAAAACCTGACTAGCACTGAGACTTTGTGGGAATAAAACCCAGTTTTGTTGTTGTTTCAAAAGTAAACTGCAAAGTGTAGACTCTCTAGTCTTTGCTGTTGTATGTCCTATGTCCAGTTTAAATGTTATATTCTATTATCTGACCTGTATTTTACCAGAGGTTAGCAGAGTCTGCAGAAGATGCGGACCTGTACCATGAATTCAACTCTTCACTTCAGGTCAGTTATATGAGAGCGATGGATGGATGGATGGATGGATGGATGGATGGATGGATGGATGGATGGATGGATGGATGGATATAGATAGATAGATAGATAGATAGATAGATAGATAGATAGATAGATAGATAGATAGATAGATAGATAGATAGATAGATAGATAGATAGATAGATAGATAGATAGATAGATAGATAGATAGATAGATAGATAGATAGATAGATAGATAGATAGATAGATAGATAGATAGATAGATAGATAGATAGATAGATAGATAGATAGATAGATAGATAGATAGATAGATAGATAGATAGATAGATAGATAGATAGATAGATAGATAGATAGATAGATAGGAAAAACAAAATGCATAGCTTTTCTTCCTGGTGGGTACTTTTTATTATCAGTCACAATTTCTGGTGATTTAACATTAACAAAGCATACATTCACAGTACTATTTGAAGGAAAGTTTGATTCCTCTCTGCTCTCTCCCTCTCTTTCAGTTTGATTACTACAACTCCATGTTTATTAACACACTAGATGAAGATGGGAACTCTGTTGAACTAGGTGGAGAATTTCCACTTGAAGAAAATGAACATTTTAACAAAATGCCTGTCAACACTCAGCTGAGCACCATCCAGGTTCCCACAAATGTTTATAACAAAGGTTAGTGGCAGTTCACATTAGACAACTGCTTGTTGAGGTGTTCCAAAATTTATTCACAATCTCTTCTCTACCCAAACAGATCCCAAGCTTCTTAATGCCATCTACAACTCTGAAGCTATAAACGATGTCTTTATCAGCAATTTTCAGAGAGATCCCACACTTACTTGGCAGTACTTTGGCAGTTCATTGGGCTTTTTTAGAATATACCCTGGTAAGTTTATCTTTCTTTCATTGTTTATTGTAAGTTTTAAAATACTACTTCTTTCTTTACGTCTATGTATACAGGGAGAGAAATATATTTTTTAAGATTATTATCTAAATGTTAATTTCAGTGTCAAATGTATTTATATGACAATTTAAAACAACAACACTTGCTTCAAAATTAACCAACACCTATTACTAAAAGTACAACGTATTTAGAATGAGGTTTAATAGAGTTAAGACCTCCAACAACTATTTAGTGTCTTGTACTGAGTTAATAAAGGAAAGGAAAGTAAAGGAAAATAAAAGATCACAGGTTTAAGAAACATGTAACCGTTCATATACTATACGCAATGCAAATATAAGGTGTTTCACAAATTTTGAGTGCCAAAAGTAAATGTTAAATTATTTCTTTATTATAATTTTAATCCTGAACATCAAGGACAAAATTACCACAGTTAAGTCCTCACAAAGGTGTGTGATCATCATAAGAAAATCCCATGCATAGGATAGGGGTAGACCATTTATCATTTTCAAAGGTATTAAATTAAGTGTAAATAGACCCTATTTAACATCAACCCCATCCCCACACATATAAAACAAACAAAAATCCAATATGAGAATTAACTGGGTGGAGGTCTGCATCAAATGACCTGTGATATCGGAGGACAGAAAAGGTGGCTGCCTCGTTTTTTTTCCCCTTGATGTGGCTCTGTGTTCTGGGTTCATTTCATAAAGAAGGTTTAACTAAATCAGACTCAAATTCTCAACTCTGAACTGATCTAGTCTAGGGTTGAAAACTCAGAGTTTCAGGCTTCACGAAAGCTGCTGTGAGTGAGTTTATTCAATTCTGAGTAGATCCACTCAGAGTTAAGCACGTGCGTAACAAGTATGAAAAGCCATTATCAGTGGAGCACCGATTCGATGAGTCACTATGACGACAGGCAACAGAAAGTGCCTATTTCACCCAGTGAGATAAAACAGCTGGAGAGTGTGTTTGAAAGACAGAGAAACAGCGCTACAGCAGCAAAAGAGAGGATGATGGAAAAGGAGAAGTTTGCTGCTCGAGTTAAAGCGTACGTTTATATGAAGTCTATTGTGGCAGGGCATTTTGACATTTATTAAAGTGCTGTTGTTCCATTTCCTAGTCAAAATCACATTCCTATAGTCAGAACTGTAATAACAGATTTTTTAATTACATTTTTGCTGCAGAAACTGACTTTTAGAAAGTAAAAAACAAAATTATACAAGTAAAAACTAAGTTGTATATACCTAGAAATGTTTACGCATTTTAAGTGACCTTTTTGACATTTATTTGCTTGACAAATATGTATTTATGATATCTGAAATACATTGCTTCATGATCAAAAAGATAAAGATGATGGCCAGAAACAATAAGAACATGGATATTTTGTGAGTTTGGGACCCAAACTGGCAGAAAAAAATCCAGATCCTACAACAACTGGAGCTCTGAATGAAACAATTAACAGGAATTCTTATTTAAGGAGAAAGCTAAATTATAGGTATTGTCATTAAATGTAAAAACAAGAGGTCAACTGACTGTGATGCCATTGATATGAAAATAATTAAGGAGGTAATTGAGGAAATTATTCAGCCTCTGACTTACACCTGCAATCTGTGATTTCAGTCGGGTACATTTCCAGAAAAGATGAAAATTTCCAAAGTTATTTCCCTTTATACCATTTCACAAATTATAGGCCTGTTTCTCTACTTGCACAGTTTTCCAAAATTTTTGAGAAATTATTTGTGGATAGATTAGATACATTCATTAATAAACATAAACTGCTTTCTGAGTCAGTGTGGATTTAGATCACAAATTCATTTAGATAAAATCAACTCATTCAATGGATGGAAGAAGTCACCAGTGCCTTAGATAATAAGAAATCTGCAGTTGGTGTATTACTGATCTCAAAAAAGCTTTTGACAAAATAAATATTACTTACTTAGTTAATGTGTAGAAGTATGTGGCATTGATACTTTCAAGCGCTATAAATTGGCCTGAGGAATAATTTAAAAGAACTTCTATGCATCAACTCTTTAGGTCACAGGAATACAGTCATACAATTGTTAACTCCTCTGAGAAAGCACGCGATGCCATTTTTAGCAATTTCTTTCTTTTTTTTTTTTTTCAAAATTCACTGTATACCATGAATGCATAATTACCTCATTTTATTTTATTTGTTTGTATATGTACAATTCTGTTTAAAGTAAGAGATCATTAAAAATGTCTCCGGACCTTTACTGGTTGATGATTTTCTTTATTCGGACCCCTCTGATTTTTAAGTGGTTACCTCTTGTTTAATGTTTATAAATATTTATTTCACGTCATGTGCTCCATCCAATGCAGATCATTGGCGCCATCCACATCTAGTGAAAACTAGTGTGATTAGATGAGTCATATAACGCAAACACTCATTGGTCAGCTAAAGGACATCATCAGAAGCAAGCAGGTGTTCTTCAAACTGTAAACACGAATTGTCTATGCCATGCTACAATGTCGGATTCAGAAAAAGTGTATCGGGAGACGGAGCCGGAGACCAACAAGACCTCCCTCATCCTTGGTCCTATCTCAAAGAATTTTTCGAAATAGTCGAAAAATTGAGCTTTCAGTTCATATAGTGACATTTGGCTGTTTTTTTAAAGGTTAATTTTTACTTTTATACTTTAAGTCGTTTTTGGAGCACATACTTTTTCACTTTTACTTGAGTAAAGAGGTCAAGTTGATACTTCAACTTTTACCAGAGTGTTTTTAAACTGCAGTATCTATACTTCTACTTCTACTTCTACTACAAATGTGTGTACTTTTGACACCACTGGGTAACAAGTCCTTTGCAAGAAAATACAGAGACATTTAACAATGCATGCAAATACTCACACAATAACTTCGATTGATTTTAACAATCATAAGTTAGTTCCAAAACAGACAACAAAAAATACATAAAATTTCTAAGAATGACGTAAATATCTTAAACATTCAACACTACCATCCTAACCTAAGGAGAATTTTAACCTTTTATTGTTTTTTATGACTTAACTGGTTTACAAGTCTGGTCTTGTGAGCTTTAATTTGTAATCATTGTATTGTATTATTCATTATACTGTTAATATATTTTTCTACTGAAAACTACTTCTATACTGAGAACCCTCTGTGCTGTCTGTAAGGTATTAAATGGACTCCAGACACCAATGGTGTAGTTGCCTTTGACTGCAGGAACAGGAACTGGTGAGTTTCATCAAGTTTTCATAGCACACTTAAGCCAATATTTAATTTCTTATATATTTTTTTCTTTTAGAAGAGTGCATTAAAAACAAATTCTAATTACCATGTTTTCTTTTCTTTTTGAAGTAGATATGAAGGTCAAAACGTGGTATTTTTTTCTATTCTGTTAATTAACAGACCTTTATTATCTAAGAGGTTTTTGCTTGTTTTCATTTATTATTAGTAATTAAACTATTAAAGAATAAGATAAAGGGGTTTGAGGCTTTGTTTCTTTTAAGCATAAACCAAGCCCTGTTTTCCAACTTCGGTACAAGAGCATGGTGTTGAATATTTTAGTTTTGTTTACCCTCTAAATACTTAACAATAACATGCAAAACAATAAACTAATGGTGTCCAAAAAGCAGGGGGACTCGCTGCACAGTAGAGATTCAGTCAGAGACCATTGTCCCCATGAATGTGGGTCGCCTGAGTAGCAACATTGAAACTCTGATCCTCTCTAAAAGACGTTAAGCTGTTCCTCAGCCAGGTCACTGCCACCCATATGGCACCATAGAGTATATAACTGCTCATTCTAAACATTACCAGAGAGCTGTATGTGCCTAAACATTTAGCTACAAATCAATACTGCTAATGGGGTTTTAACTGAGACAAAAAGCTAAATATGATCATATATAAATAAAATCTGAAGAACATTTTTTTTTGACTTCAGCAAATTAAACTGTATGCCTGACTTCCATAAAAAAATATTGCCTTTACTCTGCTATCTTATAGGTATATTCAGGCAGCCACATCTCCCAAGGATATTATCATAATGGTGGACATCAGTGGCAGCATGAAGGGGTTAAAGATGACCATAGCAAAGCACACTATCAACACCATCCTGGATACGCTGGGAGAGAATGATTTTGTCAATGTCATTGCTGTGAGTCGTCTTCTTCTTTGCAAACACGCACATTTTTTATTTGGAATAGATATTTTGCACTCATGCAAGCATTTGATTAGATTTTTTAGTTTCCTAACAATCACTCAGCATTGGCTTTTCAATATATTTGCATAAATAACAACATAGGAAACAGCATGACACTCCTGTGATGCTTCATGATTATTCATTTTTCTTTTGTCTGTCTGTAGTACACTGACTACGTACGCTATGTGGAGCCATGCTTTAGAGGAACACTGGTGCAGGCTGACTTGGACAACAGAGAGGTAAGATCATTATCTTCATGAAGGCTTCTCATCTGGCATTTCACAGGCAGAAATGTTGGCTCACATTAGGTTTTTCTGTTATAACAAGGAATTCGTATGGGTTTTCATTCATTTTGAGTTATTTTCTATTATTGACCCTAACTTTGACAATTACCAATGCATTATTGCTTGAAGAATTGTCTTTAAATATTTTTCAAATTGTGTGTCATTCTTTGTTAAATGTACTGTGTGCCAATCCACACTCAATGCTTGAAGGATATGCTCATGCATTGAGAAAATTCTGCCTCCTGTTTTCAAATTTACCAGATGTATTTACCTTTTCCCATGCCTAGTTTACAGAAGCTGACTGTTTTGTTTTTACCCCATAAAAAATAGACCTTTTCTGTATTTCTGACAAATTTTTGAGCAGTAAAATTTACAGCATTGAATAGAATAGCTTCTAAGTCTTAGTAAGTGAGGTTGAAAGCACCTTTTTTTTTTTTTTTTGGCATCCCCTAATTGCCGCTACGGCTATAGGGTTTTACATTGAGTTATGTATGTTAATGAAACCATCCTGTTCTAATACGGAATGAGAATACATCAGTGACAAAAAAGGTCAAAGCAATCTTATTTGTTATCATATTTTTAAACGGTCAAGCAGCTGTATTCATGGATAAATAGCTTAAACGTCCCTTTCCTCGGGAAAGAGAGAGGTTTCAGTTGAGTCCAAGAAAGGGGGAAAAAAAAGAGACCATACCTTAACCTCGGGGGTAAAGGGAAGACCTATATTTTTTATAGATTCACTTGTGCTTCTGCAGACTCCCCGCAGCCACAGTTCCTCTTTTTGCAGAGAAATCCTGGCAAATATCTTAATAAAGCTGTAAGAATTTACATCAAAGCATTCAATAGTGATGAAGGCCTGGACTGTCTCAAGCAAAGGAGGATTCTTACACCGTATCCCTGCTTGTGGCTGAATCATAACATCCTCACTCTATTGTTGAAGACCTGCTTCTCCCAGCAGCAACTGTTATAACTGAAATTATGATGAACAAAAAAGCATCTGGAAGACTCAACTGAAACTTTATGAACGACGCAGTGAAGTGTTTGGGTTTTTGAAGGAACAACTACATTCTCGCTGTGGTGTTTGAGGATGCAAAGTGGGTGGCACGCCTAGCAGATATCACGTGTAAATATATATTGTCAGGGTTCCCGTGTGGGTTAGTGTGAGTTGTGCATCTCTATTATAGAGGATCTTTGTGGAGAACTTGGGTAGCCTACACAGGTGAAAGAAATCTTTATAATCATAGTGCTGGGCTTAAAAGAGCACCAGAGCCTTCATTCAGGGCTGGTTTCTTGTGTGTTGTAGATGTTGTTTTGTTGCTTCCCTCGAGTATTTTTCATGACATTTATTGGTTTTGTTTGGTTTTCAGTATTTTTGGATTTTTGCCTCTTTTTCCCTCATCCAAACTCATCCGTGCCTACTCCTCTCTGCTTTTGGGTCCTCAAATCCTCCACCCAACTTGACATAAAATTGTCAAACTGAATGAGCTCAACCCATCACTTCAGGGGAGGGAATCACACATCCTTAAAATATATGACAAAATTAAAGGATTCTTAAAAAAGCTCAAACTATGGGAGAGAAAATGCGATGAGGGAGATGTGAGTTCTTGCTACCACTGATGTTTTCCGGACTCCAGTGGTCAAACTTGTGCAAGCACAAATGTCTGGCCTCTGCAATGATTTCAGTCAGTATTTTAAGTACCATGAAGAAAATGTCAGAGAGACTTCACTGTGTGTGAGAGTAGCAACAACCTTCCCACAAGGCTGCAAGAGCATCTGATGGATTTGTCGGCCGATCGTGGCTGAAAATGAGATTAGCTGAAAAGACATTGACAGAGTTTTTCTGTGATGTGAAAAGAGAGAATACCTTTAACTGGAGAAAAATGCAATGTTTGAACTTTTGCCTTTTGGTTCTGCTTACATGTGTGAGGTTACCTACTCAGCTTAGACCAACATCATAACCAAGCCGAGGAAAAGACTAGATGTGGAAAACAGCCTACTAAGAGCTGTTTCCAAATTTCCCCCAGATCTATCAGAGCTTATCAAAGAAAAACAAGCTCAGCTAAATAAAGCTAATTTGAATGATGAAAACAAAGTAAAACTGATATAATGAATATAGGACTTTTGTTTTGTTTTTTAAATGTACATTTATCTTTTGATTTTGGATTTTTTTTTTAAACTTATTCACTTTCTAGGCAACATATTTAAGGTATGTTTTAATTTCATTGACTAAATAAGAAAATGCCTGATAATTAAATGTTAAATATTTTTTTCCTTTTATAATCACTTGTGGATTTTTAAAATCAACAGGTTTCTCTGAAAGGGTCCTCATGGTATGACAAAATGGCTCAAAAAAACACAGGTCAAAAAAGGTTGAAACCACGGATGTACATGTAGCTGCTAGTGAAATAATCTTGTTCTTTGTTTGTCTTTCAGCACTTTAAGCTGTTGGTGGAGGAGTTGCACGTTAAAGGAGAAGCAAAAATAAAGAATGCGATGAAGGAGTCCTTTAAGATCTTAAATGAGGCAAGTTAGTCTTTGCCTCATTGTTGAAAGTCTATCAGTATATATAGTAACAGTATATATAACAGTAATATTTGGGGCAATATCATAATTCATTAAAGAAAAACATAAAGCTGGGAGAGAGATGTGATGATCAGTATCTTTATCAATATATTTTTGTGTGCAGGCAAGGATCAATGGCCAGGGCAGCATGTGTAATCAAGCAATTATGCTAATCACAGATGGGGCCATGGAAGACTTTGAGTCTGTCTTTGAAGAATTTAACTGGCCAGAGCGCAGGGTAAGCAATTGGAAGGGACATTAAAACTTTTTTCAGTATACAGATTATGGATCAAGGTTTACATCTAGTTCTTAAGTAATGTTAAGAATGTTGGAATAAGAATGTTCAAAATCATCGAGATTCCTGCTTTAAATATCACAGTTTAAGCCTGAATTGTATTGCTCATGTATGCTGTAGTAACTGAGATAGTTTTTTTTCCTGGTTTTATTCTTTTCAAAAGAACTTAAGCTGTCGGGATGGCTGCTTTCAAACTTCTTAGAAGTAAAGCTGCTGGATATGCAAATTCTGGGCTGGTTTGGTTAAAGGGGTCATAGAATGATTAAAAGCAAATAAATAAATGAAGAAAATGAAGAAAAAAAGAAAGAAGGTTTGCAATTGCATCAGATTCAGCATCATGTCTGCTAGGAAGTTTGTTGGTCATGGGCTATTACAAAGTATACAATAATTGATCAATATGTCAATTTTTAACATGGCTCTCTGTTTAGGTGCGAGTGTTCACCTACTTGATTGGCAGAGAGATGACATTTGCTCAAAACACCAAGTGGATAGCTTGCAACAACAAGGGTCAGTCCAGTGTCTATGTTTAGATAAGTGCATGAAAGTTCTTACCATTTTGTGTACGAGCAGTCTTATAAAATCTGATATTGTGAATTTTTCAGGCTACTACACACACATCTCTACACTGGCTGATGTTCAGGAGAATGTCAATGAGTATCTCCATGTGCTCAGTCGACCAATGGTCATCAACCATGACCACGACATTATCTGGACAGAAGCCTACATGGACACAGTGGTGAGCAGAGCTGCCCACTCTATAATTTTTTCCACATTTTATCACCATCCTTGTGTTTGTGACTTCATGCTCACCTGTTTTTAATTCATAAATCGAATTATTCTCTCATGAACATCTGGACCTATCTTTCCCCTCCGGCAGCTTCCCAACACAAAGGAGGTAAACAAATAAATAATTGTTTGTGATAAATATTAACCATTTGCCTTATATTATTTCAGGTATATTTCATAAGAATTTTCACCCAGTTCTAGCAAAATCTTAAGTATAGAAAACATTGCAATATGGTTATTTTCCTCCATCAACTGAAAAAGGAAAGGGACAAGTTATTTGTGCAACGTTTTTTAATACCAGGAATCAGAGCACATATGACAGCTAAAATAGCTCCTATGGAAGAGTGTGAAGTGTAATTCAAATCTTTAAATGCTACCGTGAGGGTAGGGTAAAGCATTATGTCTTAAATCTTCATAACTGGGTTCTTATTCTTTAACATGAGCATTAAATGTCATGACCTTGCAAAAAAGGAAATCATAACTTAATTCCATCATTATACGCAAAAACAGAACTGAAATATCAGCATTTAATACAGCATTTTTTCCGACACAATTGATATGAGTTAAAAGTGAGTCAAAAAATTGTTTAAAACTCACAAAAGCAGGAATTTTACTGTTTCACAGTTGCAAATCCTCATTAGGTGCTTTTTGTATACACAAGTTTCGGATGCATTATCCTAGCAGTTTGCTTAGTTTTTTGTGGGCTTTTGTTATATGTGTATTTTAATAATCTGTAACAAATTGTGCTATGCTGTCTTTAAGCTTTTCTATACCAAAGCTCAGAGTCTGCTGCTGATGACTTCTGTGGCTATGCCAGTTTTCAGCAAAAAGAAGGAAACGGTCAGTACATCTCACAATAGAAATCTCATCATATTCTCTACAAGCTAAAGTTGACAACTGGCTGGTTTTATGTATTCCATAGAAAAGTGTCTCATTTCGATCTTACTTATATCACAAATTATTTATATAATGATTTTCCTGATAGTAAAATAAGCACAGATTCATTTTGCAAACAGCTTGGTTGATGTAAACCAGATTCCAACCCAATCTGGAAAAAAAACACAACACTAAATAAAAAAAGACTGCATAGATTTTTGCAGTCTTCGCAACAAACAATCTGCATTGATTATTTCCTGTACTTTTCACACCGGAGATAATCATAAATGAATAAAATAAAAGTAAAAAAGCATTTATACACTGAAAAGAGCAGAAAGCGAAATTACTGAATCACTTTATGGTCACATATTTTTAGATAAGTTGTGTGTAACTGTTTGACCTTTAATATTACTGTTTTCAGCTGTCACATGGAATCCTGCTTGGTGTGGTTGGCACTGATGTTCCACTAATGGAGGTGATGAAGCTAGCACCCAGATACATTGTGAGAGCAACTTTTGGCTACACCTGTTTTCAAAACTAGACTGCATATTTGCAAATAAAGCTGAAAACAGGGTTGTGTTTCGTTTTAGCTTGGACCACATGGCTATGCCTTTCTTCTTAACAACAACGGTTACATCCTGGCTCATCCTGACCTCCGACCTCTCGTAAGTTAAACTTCTGAACATGTAAATTCTCAGTCATCAGGGTCATTGCAACTACAAGCAACCTTATGTTTTGGGCAACCAGACTTTCTCTCAGTTTTAATAAAGATGTTTCAACATCCTTGTCAATTTTGTCAGCTCGCAGTTCAGCAATCTGAGAGGACAGATGTTTTGAAAGAGGGTGAAGGAAGCCATCTTTTTTAAAGGGAGCAGCCATCACTGAACATAAAGGGAGGATCATGGTTTCAGCTTACATGCAACTACAATGCTGTAGTGGAACCCAATCAAAAAAGGTTACACAAGAATGCTCATCATGAGTCAAATGCTGAACACATAACCAATATAGAACAAAAGACTTCAACAGCCCAGGATGACAGGTAAGTGTTAGATTTGAATTGCTTAGGAGGATGACCTATGTGTTGCTTAAAACTTTATTGCTCCAACTACAGATTAGTCTCACTCTAGTGCGTGCCAACAGAATAAGCAGACTCCAACATAGGTTTTGAAATATCTTCAGAAAAACTGATTGAAAGTCCGGTTGCTTCTTATTTAAGCTTGTTTTTCTTAACACCAAAGTGTTCGAAATTAAATAATCAAATCATTCTTAAATAACTAGCTGGATGAATAAAAGACATGGGCATTGAAATTCTGACATATGACAATTAAATTGTGGAATAACCGAATGCAGGTAATATTTTCAGCTAAACAAATGAAAACTCACTATTATGAAATATATTTCATTAAAAAAAAAAAAAGAAAAAAAGATATAATATGGCAATTTACACCTATAATGAGAATTATTGTTTAGGTATTTTTAGCATTCTTTTTATGTACATTTTTGCTTTATACATTCCAGCATAATATCAATAAGATATTTGATCCGATATAGCTTTAACACATTGGAAAGGGCATCCAGTTAGTGCATTGGAATTAAATTATAACATGCAAATCTTTAAGTGGAACTAATGTGACTGTCAGGGTTAGTGAATGTAGTAGTGGACCCAAATACAGAGTAGGAGGCAGGGAAGATTGCTTGCAAAATTCTATGAAACATGTAAAAATACAAAGTCCAGAACTGATCTACAAGGAAACTCAAGAACCCAAAAACTAAGAGACACTAGGGAGGAATAAACCAAAAGAACGACAAGGATCTGGCAGGTGTAGACAAAAGTAACTAGAAGGAGCTATGGGAAAAGAGACTGGGACAAGGGGGCAACAGAAAATAATACAAAAAATACAATTCAGTTCAGTTTATTTATACAGCGCCAATTCACAACAGGTCATCTCAAGGCACTTTACATTTCAACCTGTCCAATTGATTCAACATGTTCTATCTAAGGAAAAGGAAAACCAATCAATTGCATTTAGTCAATCAATTTGTTTATAGATGTTTGAGATCGGCCTGTTTTTCAGTGTAGTCCTGTTTCTCTGACTGTGACTGGCTGGATGTGCTCTCTTCATTCTCTGACATGGGAGCTGGGTCGGAGCTCATCTGCCTGGCTGTGTGTTTCCTGGACGGGGCCGCCTTTTACAGCTGCCTTTTGTATCTCTGCTTCTGTCTCCTTGAACCCCAGTCGGCCTCGGCAGATGGCCGCTCACACTGAGCCTGGTTCTGCTGGAGGTTTCTTCCTGTTAAAAGGGAGTTTTTTTCTCTCCACTGTCGCTACAAGCATGCTTAGTGTGAGGGATTGCCTTCGAGTCAATGAGTCGATGCAATCAACTGCTTTTCCTTAGAAAGAAAACTTAGAAATCAATTGTACTGTAAAGTGCCTTGAGATGACATGTGTTGTGAATTTGTGCTATATAAATAAACTTAATTGAACTGAATTAGATTGAATTGAAATAGCTTTTTCAAATATATAGATCAATGCAATGATGAGTTTCTGTTCATGAAACCCCACCAAGATAGTCACTGCTACAGTAACTGAAAAGAAGAGTAGACACTGTTTGGTATCAGCTAATGTGGGTGCAGGTCCAACCTGCTGATGTGGATTGGCCGAATAAGTCATTTAGTTGAACAATGTCATTACAAAATAAGAAGGCGATGGGTAAAAACATCATTATAAAACAAAAGCTGGCTTTTTAAAGGTAACATTTTTAAATGAAAACTTTTGGAATTAAATAAAAATGCCTCAAGAATTATTTTTGATTATTGGGATAAATTGTCAGAGTAAATCATTATTTTTATCATGAAATTTCAATATTCTTAGGTATACTTCATAATAATTAGCTGAGAATTTTACTTGTATTCAGTTAATTCAAAATTACATTGCCATATTTAATATACGTTTATTATTTATTCAATTCAAATATTTTGAACACTTTGGTATAAACTGATCTAATAAAATGTAGAAGAAGAGTTTCCCCAACAGTCATTGACTGTTTATCAACACTGTAGACTTTAAGCCAACCTTAAATTTCTCTCCTTCCCAGGTAAAGGGTTAAGAGCAGAACATTTGAGTTATCATCTTCAAATTCCATTAAAAACTAGTAAATTTCTACCTGCACTTAGTTTTTCCTTCAAATCTCTAGCTTTTTTTAAATAATGAGAACAAACCCTAAAAATTGATTGGTGATACTCTCAAGGCTCGCTAATTCAATTTGTCGTGGGATTTGTGTAAACTGAATATCAGTCTCACCGAAGCTTCTTTACATTGTGGTGATTTTAGGATAAAGCTGGTGTGACAGTGCCATCTCATGGAGAAGAAGGTTTTCTGTATATTCTCTTTCATTATCATTATGACCTACTGAGGCAAAGCAAAGGTACGAAAAAGGAAACAAAAGTCAGTGTAACTTAATGTTGCCTCCAAGGTAGTTCAGATATATATATTTATGGTTTAAGACATTAGCAAATGTCTCAACTACTGAATAAAAAATGTCCATTATTTCATATATAAACTTAGCACCCACATTTGAGTAATTTCTGTTTGAACCTTCAGTCTTCTTTGTAAAAATGATTCTTTACAGTAAATTTTCACACACAATGTAATTATGCCATGGATGTGCATTATATATGGCTATCCAAAACCCTGTTTTGTTATCAATATTTCCTTAAAACAATCACACAGCTTGTCACCAGTTTAACATTTTAATAGGGATTCATTCTCAGTAACTGTGCCTCTCTGTCCTACAGTTTAAAGACGGCAAGAAACTGAAACCAAAGCCGAACTACAACAGTGTGGATCTTTCAGAGGTGGAGTGGGAGGATACAGATGAGATGGTAAACATGCCTAAAGAATTAGGATTTAAATATTTTAAAATCAAATCAGGATGTATTTGGCTGGATGATCTTCAGTAAGTGTATGTAACTTGATCTGATGTACGGTAATTAAAGACTTTTTTCACTGTCATTGGCTGAAATAAATATTACTTAGGTGGACACCAGTGGCGGTTGATGCTCTATGAAACAGGGAAGGCTCAGTCCTAGAGTGGGCTCAACATTTATGCACAACATACTTAGGTGCATTTTAGTGTATATGTAATGAAGTTTAAAGACTGTATTTATGAAGTTCGACAATGCAGGAATTTACAGGGGAGGTTTGGCCTCCCTATCCTATTCAATGAGAAATTGCCACTGGTGGACAGATACTAAATGTAATAGTGATTTTTGCACTGCCTCTTTTTTTCCTTCTGTTCAGCTAAATATGCACTTGTATTTTTACAGCTTAGGACACCCATGGTAAAAGGTGAAACTGGGAGTATAACCCTGAACATCAGAGCCTCTGTGGATAAAGGGGTAAGAAAGTTATTCATTTATTTTTTCATTTAGATGACAATAGCACCATATTTCATCATACAGAGACTCACTTTTGAAAATACTATATAAGCCTTTTTTTGTCTACTGCAAACTACGTTTGCATATATTCTAAATGGAATCAACATAACACATTAAGTTAATGGTGACTTTTGCGTCCATTTTGTGTTTGCTCAACTCTGAATGGGTTGTATAACTGCACTGTGCGACAACATAACCCACCAGATGGCTCTCAAAGTGCTGTAGTTAGTACCCATGGTGCCACCTGTGCATTTCTACTTCATTAAAGAAAAATGCTGCTTCCTTAAGTGGATAAAGTAATTTTCCCCCATTAAAGCTCCAATAGGGGGAAATAGTAAATTTTTACAACAATTCAATTTATATCACAATTCATGATTAAAACGATCCGATGGGATTCAGTGACTTGAAATTGATCCAGTTAATCTTTAGCTAAAAAAATTACCTCTGTGACTGTGAAATAAATACCTATAAATCTCCTAGATTTTAAATTTATTTTTCAAGGGAACTTAGAGCAATAATGAATATGGGCATAAACAAATATGTGGAAAAAAGGTCATTTCAAATACATTCATCCAACACTCAATTAAATCAATATGAGGTTAGCCTTTGTTGTATTATTTTTTTTACAACTAAGCATTTTTAAAGTAAAGTGCACTAAATTTAATAAATATTTGAACAGTAGGTTAACCTGCTGTTTCAACTGCTTTTTTGCCTTTTACGTAACAGATTACAGCTTTAATATAAAAGTAACAGGATGAATCACATGTAGATTTACCTGCTCTTTTTACTACTGTTTTTCAGCGTACAAATATCACAAATAGAACATTACTGTTAAAACATGTATGTGACTGGTATGGCTTCAGCTGATCAATATGGTCTGGTTGCAGTTCCTTGCATATGAACCCGTTGCTGAACTAGCAATTTCCAGCTCAGTGACTTCTCATCCATCCACCGAGCTGTTTTGAAATCAGCGCATATATAAATATATATATATATATATATATATATATATATATATATATATATATATATATATATATATATATATATATATATATATATATATATATATATATATATATATATATATATATATATATATATATATATGGGTGTGTGTGTGTGTGTATACTGTATCGTATTTCAATACACAAAGGCCAGTTTGATGAACATTGCTGTTGTGAATAATGCTTGACCAGCATATCTCTTTATCCTATAGAAGAGACCATTGTACCTGATCAACAACTATTTCTACACCAACATTGCTGAAACGCCTTTCAGGTATAGCATACTTTTTACTTCAACATACTGCCGTCATTTTAACAATGTAGATATAATGGCTATAAACAGAGACTAACAGTCAGTCACTCTCCAGTAAACATTCCCCTGCTATTTCTGCCCTCTTCAGCTTTGGCATGGTGCTTACCAAGGGCCATGGCAGTCTAATGTTTACAGGAAATGTGTCAGTGGAAGAAGGTAAACATCTAGATTATTTTTCCTAATAAAAACCTTGTGTTTAGTGTAGAATGTTCTGCACAACTATTATTTATTTTTTTTACAAAAAAGCAAACATTTTTCCAACACATTGTGTATGTGTACAAGGTGAATTAGATAAATCAGATAAAACTGCATCTTTAACACCAGAATGTTTTGTTGTAATTTGTTTTTTAGTGATTGGCATGTTTTTACCTTCTAATACAGGACTGCATGATCTGACCTCCCCTGACCTCAGCATTGCCTCTGAGTGGTAGGTTAATAACTTTAACATTCAGAGTAAATCTGTAACGGAGTGAATTAGATTGAAGTAGATTTATTGCATTTCCAATTTTCTTTTTCAAATATAGAGCAATATAATCTATATCTATGTTTGTACATGCTCATTATAGAATGACTTTATTCAGTTTTCTGTTATTTGAATAACTAGTGTAAATTTATTATTTTCTTTAATGGAAGGGTATGGAAACTTTCAGGCACAACTGTATATTTAAAAAATCAATTTCCTAAGAAAAAATAAGTTTGCACATCTGGATATTTTCTAATGTAAATGTGCCATGTAACCCAAAGAGGTTTGTTCAACATGGGATAGTTTCCTATCAGCCATGCCATCAAAGTATGCAGAAAAAACTAACTCCATGAGCATGCTGGTTATACAAAGCTTTATTTAGAATTGGTGACAATCTGCTGTGGGCTTGGGTGAATTGTGTTCCACTTAAATCCTGTGATGTTGTTTAATATTCAATCAAAGAACTTGTTATCTTTCATATGTTTCCCTGTGAACATCCACCAAATGGCTGTGTGTAGGACATCAGATAAAACAGTGATTAATGCGATCATGGTCAAGCATACATATGGAATCAATTCACAACCACATCCAAACATACATTTATTTGAAAAAAATTAAACTACAAGTTAAACATACTTCAGTTAAACATTTTTAGGTAAGCTAGCAAAACTACACAGAAATTAAAAGCTGCTATTTACACATCAGAAAAGACAAATGAAAATAGTTGAAAACTGTTATCAATAATGTTATGCAATGTATCACAGTTCAACATTGCTATTATGTTAGAAAATCTAAGTGTATCTTGAAGATTAAATAAGGTTAAAACAGCTTTAATAATAACTGGAATTTGCTGAAACTAATTCACAATTCAAATACCAGCTAATTTTCATTATGTGTTGTGAAATCCAGTGTTTAGATAAGCTTAACGTAATCGAATTGAATAATGCTATGCTTTAATGCACAGTCAAACCGTTCTGTGGACATTGGGTTTATGATATTTTATGATAAAATGCTAAGCTCTCTGTCAACAAATTTAGTTTTCATAGAATTTTCAAGGCTGCGCCTCGCAAGAATGCATGATATTGTCTTGGTTCTGTTATGTTTTACTTTGCTCCATGTTTTCTAGTTTTATTGGTTTAATTCCTATTTTGTTGTTTTTTCTGGATATATTTGAATTCTAAGGTTTTTATTTGTTGCCCTCTGTTGGCCTCTTGTGTTGGTCTCCCTTTCCCTAGCTCCTTCCTTGACTTCTCTCCTCACACCTGCTCCCAATCTGCTCGTTAGCCCTCTCCTTGTTAAGTCTACCACAAATACTCTCCTTGTGCAGTTCCTCTGTGCTGGTTCCCCGTCTTACCCTGTCTTTCCTCGTCTTACTTTGACGTACCTCGTCTTATCCTGGCTCCTCGTGATTGTTTTCACCAGATGTCTCCATGGTTCAGGTTTGTTTTATATTTTTCATGTTGGATTTTTGGAATCCTCCCTCTGTTACCTGTGTTTAATTCATTAAATGTTTTAAGAAACTCAGCCCTCCCTCCCTGCCTCTACATTTGGGTCCTCTAACCTCAACCAAATTCTGACAGACATTTAAATGGACTACACATTCTCATCTGCATAATATAAGTATTTTAGCTGTACAACATCATTTTGCAAACAGTGGAAAAACATTTTGGACGTTTTATATTTTTACATGGTTACAACTGAAAAGGTATTTTCCTCTACCCATCGCTCAGGGGCCTCATACTTAACTATGACAAAAATAGGATAGATGATCATAGTTTGGACTGCTATAGCCTCTGTTATGCCACAACACTGTTTTGAAAGAACATGTAGGGCTTGTTCAGGGACGAGGAATTTTGAGATTATCTTTATCAAACTTTGTATGAATATTTTCTTTTTAATTTCCATCTTCTTGGTGTGGAATAATGTCTTACATTATGCATAATGTGTTATGCTCTGCCAATTTTACAAACATTGCCAGAGCATTATAAACACAATGCTCCACTTGCGATTACTAATCTGTAGGGCATTTCATTCTTACTAAGAAAGCAATTCTGAGCATTAGACTGATAAAGAATTGTTAAAATGTTTTGTAATTGTAATATAAGACTCGGTAGGCTACAAAATATTTGCATCCGACCTAAGAATCAACCAGGTCGATAACCTCCAAAATGTTGATTGATGAAGACTTAAACATCTCAGGCTCCAGTTGTAAAGTAAACCTGCTGCTTTCGCATAAGTAAGCAAAATCGTGTCTCTGTTTATTCAGACACAATAATAAACCTATTAATACACCCAATAATATTCTCACCCACAGCTCTTTCCCTTCAGTTAAATGAGCTGAGGCCCAACTATGGTTGGTTCAGTTAGAGGTTTCCTGGGTGGGTTTTAAACCACTGTGCAGGTTAGCTGGTGGTATTTTCTTTTTCGAGTCACTTCAAATTTGAAGTAAAACAAAATGAAATAACCACTGTAGCATGTATCACATCACAAGCAAAGTATTGTCTTGCAATTTAGTATGAATATTTTTTTAATTTTAACAGCTAAACTCCATTGTTTTTTTTGTTTGTTTTTTATATTAATTAAAAATGTATCCAAACAATCTGGCAACAAAACTGACAGAAGTGGCACTTAACACCCACCTTTGAGATTCTGGACTTTCTTTTCAGAAGGATATAGTTTTGAAGAATGAGGTAAGCTTTCCTCCCTTGTGACATCCAATGGCGCTGGAGTACCACAGGGCTGTGTACTAAGCCTACTCTTAAATTCCCCCATATACACAATTTAAAATCCAGCTAAATTTCTATATTATAGCAGCCTACAGTTAACAGATGTTACCCTAATTATTGATCTAATATCAAACAGGATTAGGTAAGCCCATAGAAATGAGACTGAGATAAAAACAACTGTACAAAAGTTTATCACTGCTGTCATCCTACAAGTGCTATATTGTTCTTATGCAGGCACAACATAATGTCACAGTGACTATAACTCAAAGGTTTCGCATTGTTAAACACAAAGCCCCCAAATTATACATGTATGCAAAAATAACTCTGATAGGTCCACTAATCTTTATTACAAGACTAGTCAACATAATTATTAAATAATTAAAGGACATGTATGTCACACAAGCTAAACTGAAAATGCTATTATGCTAAAGAATACCAAGTGTAGTTCTTTTTTAATTTGTGCAATACATTATCCTTTTTACTTTTGTGACATTGTTATATAGTTTATCTGCCTCATTTAAAGAGCAAATACAAGTTTGTATGGCCTCTGGTACTTTTACACAATTAGATTCTGTAATCTAACCCCCAATTAAAGCATTACCTATGCTTATTAATACGAAACATGATTTTACAATTATTGCACTAAAACCGTTTGTCACAGCTTGATGTCCTATGCTGTAAGACAAGTCCACACCAACCATAGACTAAACAACACAGCATCCTGATGTGGGATTTTAGAATATCATGCCCTAGTGCCAAAAATTATCAATTTTCTGTTTAACAAATCAGACTTGCAACAGAATCTGGGTTCCTCTATCTAAGAACTGGCAAAATCCTTTATTCACAGGACCTACTGTGAGACAGACATTGACCCTGATCATCGAAAATATACCCAGTATCAAGCAGTCATCCGATACCTGCAGGGGAAGGAGCCTGACCTAGAGTGTAGGTTTTACCTACTCACAAATAATCTTTGTTTTAAGCTTCTGGTACATGTATTTATTTTTTATTCCACCTGTGTTGCATGTAGGTGACGAGTTATTGCTCCAGCAGACATTATTTGATGCTGTGGTCACTGCCCCGTTAGAGGCTTACTGGAACACATTAATGCTTAATGACAGGTGAGATCACTGACACATCAACAGTGTGTACTCTGCATGTTCACTGTTAAAGAGCTATGTGTTGTTGCATTTGACCTTCACTAATGGAATACAAGTAAATTTCTCGGAGAGCTAGCAAACAAAGAGACCAATTGTAGAGGCAAATAACAAACTGAAGTATGTTGTTTGTAGAAATAATTGTTAGTCTGTGCTATGTTTTTCTAATCCATGTTTTCATGTCATATGCAGGCTGGAGCCAGGGGTTGAGACTGCGTTTCTTGGGACTCGTTCAGGCCTAATGAGGTTAATGAGATATGCAGGAACTGAAAACAGAGTGGCAAAGTAAGAATGAGAACACATACGATAACATCAAGTTATTGTCTGTCCTTCCAGACTCGTACCCACAACTGACTAATTTAAGAAGAAAATGAATCCCGTCTACATAACAAGGGGGGCTGGAGATAATCCATCATATGGTTGCATCTATATAAATAAGAATAACCTCTAAGATTCTTTCTTCTTTCAGTAACATTTTATAGATTAACTACACACAGACTGCTTTCAAGCCCATCTTTAATTCTTGAAAATACATTTAAAGCTCATAAAAATGTAATGCCGATTTTTTTTAATGAAGATTAGAATGAAACATCAGCCCAATACAAATTGAAGGATTAGGGATTTAATCAATATTCTTATTAATACACGGTCTAAGTATTTTTTGAAGATGCTTTTAATCTGATCAACAAACAAATTCCAATTTCCTAAGATGTCCCTGTAGAAGGAAAAAAAGGGAAATAAAATATATCTGTAGATTGGGTGAGCTGTATCACAGCTCATTACTGCTCCCTAAGTTGATTTTTTTCAAAATGAAAATTTTAAATAAATCTGATCAAAGGTTGAAATTGTCTCTTACAGGAAGTTCCTGACTCCATCAGACAAAGATAACCTGTTTACTATTGATCATTTCCCTCTCTGGTACCGCTTAGCCGTGGAAAACACTCCCGGCAGGTTTTACTACTACCCTGTTAATGACAAAGGTCTGTGCTCATATTTTCTTTATCCAAAAGTATTTGGAGTCTTTATAATTTGAAAAGAATCATTGAGTACATATGACAGTTTATTGAAAATAATTGTTCCCCTAACAGGAGTGAAGTACGTCATAGCAACAACAGCGGTTACGGTATCATCTGGAGAAAGAACGGCAATGGCTGGAGGTCAGTTTCAATGCTGTAGTTTGGTATCTTTTAAAACAGTCGCCCCTTTCCTGGTGTTTGCCTGTTGAATGTTTCATGTGTCGACACCCAAAAGGGGTTCAGGATCATAAGGTTTGAAAAAAAATCTAAAACTACATTTAGATATTGTGTCCATGCTCAATTATTTTAAAGGTAGCTCTTTTCCGAGGTTGTTCTGTTTAGAGACATAATTTAAAATTATCAGGATGCCACTGAAATCTCCAGATGATCCTATTGTGTTCTTGTTTACACACAACAAATTCCGACACATCTTAATGCAACAACAGTGTATTAACTGGTGGGATTTAAAGGATTTTGTTGATAGTGGATTACAATATAAACCCCCTCTGTCCAGATGGGATAAGTAGAAATGCACCGATACAATCCGATACCTGGGCTGAGTGTATCGGCTGATATCCGATTCAACAATCAAATTAACCATATATTAACAATTGAATGAAACATATATCTTGCCATGTGAGTGAGGGCTTTAGCCTTGATATGAATATTATTATTATTATTATAAAAGCTAAAAAATTAAGCCAGATATAAATGTACTTTATATTTTTTTATCAAAGAAACAAAGAGCAAAAAGAAATAACAATTCATTGGATTGGATCTCCGATATCTGATAACAAACCACCAATATCCAATCCAGCTACTTCGTCAATATCGGAGCCAATGTCCTATCCAGGTATCGGTGTCCAATTTCCATATTTTTTTAAGGATATTTGAAAAAAAGACATCTTAAAAAAAATCCTTATTTGGCACGTTTTCGGTACGATTCAAATGAAAAATGAATTATTTACGAAACACGTTAAAAAGGGCAATAATCTGGTAGCAAAAGTTTGCATATTTTTGAACCAGTACCTTGTTTTTGTTTGATTTTAACATTCAATCATCAGGACTTCACATTGAATGTTAATCACAGAGATCCAGTGAAACTGAAATAAGCTTCAGACATTTTAATATGATTGTTTTAAGTCAACCAATGTAACCTCTATTTTTAACCCTTTAAGTTATGTGATATTCACAAGCAATTTACCTCTGAAAATAGAAAACGGGAAAAAAAAAATTGCTCTACAATTTAGATATAAATCCTCACATGTTTTTATTGTCTGTTTATATTTAGAATTATTATTTGAAATGCTCTGATAAAAGATATATATACCTGGATGGATTGTTTTGTAGTTGGGATCTTCTCCTGTACAGGACTGTTAAGATGCAGTTTTTCTGAACAAAATGGCTGTGCTCTGGAAAAAATAAAATTACTCTACATTAATCTACATTAATTAAAAATTTGTGCTTCTTATCCTCAAACTTATAAGATAAAGAGTTTTCACAAAAAATATACAGAGCACCTATGCAGTTTAAATATGCCACAGCTTTTCAGACTCATCCAGTCTAAACTGCAAATTCACGATTAGTCCGTAGCCAGATTTTTAGCACGGTGGGTGAACTGTGGTGTTTTTCAGAAGCTGCTGATTCGATAGCCGTGCTCAAAGTCATCGCCTTCTTTAGTTCCCTCCTCTGATTTGATAAGAGAGGAAGCTTGTTGATCATCCTGCTCTGTCTCAGCTCCATACTTGGCTATCAGAGACTGCCCACAGCTCTTCCTCTTTCTATGATGCCTTACCATAAATGAGGCATAGACACAGCCATAAGTTGCAGCAACAACCATCATGATGTACACTGTGCCACACACCACTGCTGCAACTATTTGTGTGCCATGTGCCCTGCGTACACTGACTGACCTATGTCGCTGCCGCACACAGTTATCAATGCTACTGACCCGCCCAAGTGGGCAGAGAGGCTTAGTGGCACGATTCAATGGATCTTCCTTCGTTGAACTCTGACAGTAGCTGAACATCTCAGCTGGGATGCTGCGGATCTCCCTGCCTTTCAGGTTCCTGGGGAAACTGCACTCCATCCGATCTATCTGTCCTTCTGTAAAACAAAATTAGAACCAAACACAATACAGTCTTTTCAAGCGTGTGTATTAAACTAAACATATGTTTTTGACATATTTTAACAGGCCTGCTTACCCCTGTAAATTAACCACTCCACCCAGTGTTTGAAATCCATCAGTTTGCAGTCACATTCCCAGGGGTTTCCGGCCAGCTGGAGCTTCTGGAGGTTCATTAGGGGGTCAAATGTGGCTCGGTCCAGGGTCACTAGCCGGTTGTAAGCTAAGGACAGCCATGTGAGCTTCTGAAGCCCATCCAACAAGCCCTTGTGCAGCAATAGGAGGCCATTAGAGGACAGATCAAGCCCATGCAGCTGCCACAATCCCTGGAAGACCTCCTTCCATAAACCGACTGTTCCAAGACTTCCATTCAGGTCTTTGCGAGTCACCGTGTTGTTGGGGAGATCCTGGCTGGCTTCACCAATTCCAAGGTAGTTGGAAGAGAGATTTAACCATTGCAGGCTGCTAAGGCCTTGGAAAGCTCTAGTTTTCAAGCTGTAAAAATGATTATGGGACAGATCTAGGAACTCCACATTGCTTAGATTTAACATGTCACAACTTCCAAAGGAGGACAGGTTGTTCTGAGAAAGATTGAGCACAAGTGAGCCCAGACCCAGCTGCTCTTGGATGGGCCTCAAAGAGACAAGGCCTACAGCGGAACAGTCAGTTGCATTACTGTAGCATCTGCAGATAGGACAACCGCCAACAGTGCTCAGAAGCCCTAGCAGAACCAGCACTCCTCGGGTGGAAGATTTATGCACTACATGACATGAAAATGAAAAGAATAGCATTTTTAGAAACACTCCTTAGTACAAAGATATTTACAAGCTCATTGTCTAGAATTGTACAGCCTAAGTGGTTGTATTTTTAAAGGGTAAAGTATTTCTTTTTTGATACTTACCTAAACTGCCACTGCAATTCCCTTCATACCCCATGTCTTCAATATCAACCCTTCCAATAAGTGCAAGTTTACATTTGGAAGAATTTTCCTTTGTGCTGACAATCCGTTTCATTGATCGACCTCAAAAAGAGAAAACAGAAGTATTTAAAAAGAGTTATTTTGCTAAAACATTATGGAGATGAAAGATGGGCAGTAGTGGGTTTTAAGTATAAACAAAAGTTTAAAAAAAAAAAAGCAGTTATTTGCGGGACAACAAACATTATTGCATTTAGTCCCCCCGGTCACATAATCCATGGCTTCAAGTGTATAAAATCCAGCATAAAGACTATTTCTAAAAACATCAGTCACAGTATGAGCTCAATATATTTAAGGGTGGTGGTGGAAAAGATGCCACATCTGGAATAATGTCTTCTGTGATTTTCCTAACTAAATAACCCAATGTTAACTGAAGGTAATATTATAGCAAATTAGAATTTTGAGAATAGGTCACTGTGATCCCGCTTTCTAAAGTACACACCCTCACAGGATTAAATGAATGTATGCCTGTACCTCTGGCATCTGTGTTCATTAAATCCTAGTTTGGACATCTGGTGCTGAAGCATTTTAAGGGCATTACAGCCCCCTCTGCTGGGCCCCCTGAAACCTGCTTACCAGACAAAGAAGGTGCAGTCAACTGGGTAACAGAAGACTTGGAGAATTTGTGTTCCTTTTACTTTAATTGGTTTTTAAAGGCTCTCAAATATTTCTATATAACAGTTTGTTGAAGTTGTAAAGGTAACTGCACTGCCTTAAGTCAAGCAGGCAGTGATGATAAGAAAGCAATCACCAAACATGGAAAATCAGAATGAAAATCTCGTATCTTTTTTTGTTTTTACTTTATAAAGAAGAAACAAAAATTAAAACACCAAGTTGACAAAAAGACCAAAAAAGTATATGAAGAATAAACTGAATACATACTTCAATTTAGTTTATACAGGGTTTACAGTGCATACTAAGTCTGCTTAAGGCAATGACATTTAGTATGCTGTGAGGACATGCAGCTTACCTTCAGATCAAAAACTGATTTGCATTTGGAGAAAAGTTAAAGACCAATAAAGGTCTTTCAAAAATCTTTTGCGATCACAGCAGCATATTCAGTTTTGATAATATAACAGGGATTTGTATGTCTGACAGAGAAATATATTGTGATATTTTTTTATATGTACAATTTGTTATTTCAATTCAATTGGAGAAAAACCTTGAAATATTTTTTTTGATAAGTGATTCAAAGAATACAATTTGTGCACTCATCCTGAAGAATCTTTGGACTTGCAGTATTTTTTTAGCCTTGTTGTATGCAAATTTCACTTATCAGTTTTTAAAGTATTTCATAAGTGCATTGATAACAGTTTACAAACAGGTTGCTGCTTAATGTGCACAATAGATGGATTCTAGTTGATTTGTATTTGTTGTTACCTTTGAATCATTTTAAACATTAATAGAACTTCATGTATTCTATGATTAGAAGTATGGTTATAAATGTTCATGTTCTTACATTTGTGAAAGTGTGATCCTGTCACTATGTCCCTTAACTGCTTGTGCACGCCAAATTTTAGAATTTCTCACTACCACTAAACACTTATTTATACATAAGGGTCCCTGGTCACTGAAAAGCAGCCCACTCTAACCAGAGCAACCCCACCGCCTGTAGGTAAAATTTCTTTTCAAACAAACAGCTTTAGAATAACATAACAAAATAAAAGGTCTGCAGTTTTACCATACTGCAGTACTCAGACTGAGGCAAAGAGAAATGTATGCAAATGCATTTACACAGATATACTCACATACACAGTATTATTACTGTGCCTGTCTTTAAATGAATCACCAAAATTAATATCAGGGATATCACAAGGATTACTAGACGAGGATGTTTATAAATGTCTGTTATGTGTGTTTTCTGAGGTTCATTTTGCTGCTCTGTTATAGACCATTAAAAGTGGAAAAAGTTTAGCATATCCATGCATATCCTTATTCCTGACACAAAGGTCTTCTGCACAACCTCTTAAGTTTTCCCTCTGCACTCCAAACAAATGAATATGCTTAACTTTAGTAGATAATTAAATTTAAAATAATAGCATTTGTCACAGGGCTGCAACATTTATTAATATCAACGGTGGTTTGGAGCTATATGAATCAGCATTATTTTATTTTTTCTAGTTGGGCAACTATAAATATATTATCCACGCAAACACAGAAATAACTCACCACAGTTCCAAAGAGTCGCAGTGTGAGATAAACTTTCCTTTTCATCTGTGCCTTTCCCAGAAGGAGCAGCTCTTAGGAAAAGTGTTTTGGTCTTAAAAAATCTTCGGGGCAATGAAAGAGCATTGCCTCAAAAAAGGCTTGAAGCAGAAATCCAATGCTGGACTTTGATTGCAGTCCGAATCAGCCACCACTAATCATTACCTCATCTTCATGATTATCACTAGCTCACTCAGTTTCCTGGGATAGTTAAGACCTCATACTCTAACATCTGCCCTGTCAGATTATAGAAGAGAGGACTGGAAGAGAAGGCAAAAAAAAAAAAAAAAACGGGTTCAGAGAAAGCACACTTCCTGATCTACCATGCTTTATGCATTACACACAGATCAATAAAATATTCATTGCTCCAAAAAAGCAAAAAACAAAAACATTATTCTTTCCACTATGGCAATTTTGGCTTTATTTCTTAAATTTGCCTCTTTATCATCACAGTAGATCTAAATTCACAGGGTTTTAATTGCCTTGTAATGCCATGCCGATTCAGACCTAAATTTAATGAATATGTTAATAAATTAATGAAGTATTTTGTTAACAAAACAGAGAAAACATTGTAATGACAATACAAGGAAACATTTACATCATATTTAAAATAAACAGTAAGCTTTCTTATTTATATTATTTTTTTAAACAGTTACATTTAATTGCGTCTCTCATACGTTGATAATAACACTCGTTCAGTGTTACTTATGCAACCACAAAACAGGCTTAAGTTGGAAGCTTTCTGAGGGCATTTTGTCCCCTTTCAAGGAGTCTGTTAATTATCTTGGCTCGCATAAGAGTAATCTTTAGTTTGAACCCTTATGTATGTATTTAATCAGCATGAAGCTCCATCCTCCTAAACACATTCTAGGTCAGACCCAAGTGATTGTTTACAAGGCCATGTTACCTAACCAGATTCAGTTTTATCCTGCATTTGTTTTTATACTGTGTACATATTTGTGTCTCCTACTTTTAGCGATCGGAGTACAGATGTCCCTGGATTGGTTGGAAAACAGGTTTTGGAGCATCGCCAAAGAGGTAATGCATCTACTGACTTTGTGGAGTATTTATTCATTTCGAAGCCAATGTATAGATCTGTTCTTTTTATTAGAGGCCATATTTTTCCAAAGTGCATCTATATTTCACACCACCTTTGAGCCTGCTTGCTTTGTTTAAAATATTGTTTCATCGTCCACAGTCATTTGAAAGGAAAGGAAGATTTTCATTATGTAAATATACACTAAAAAACATATTCTTAAATAATAAGGTTGTTGTACAACGTATAACTATTATGTTACATTTAATGACACAGCAAGTAATCCATTCATTCAGCCATTTTCTGTCACACTTATCGCCGGTGGGGTCGCCAGGGGTGCTGGTGCCTATCACCTGTCAATGGGTGAAAGTGGGGTACACCATGAACAGGTCGCCAGACAGGTTGGCAGTCCATCGCAGGGCAACACAGAGACAAACAACCATTCACGGACACACTCACACCTAAGGAGAATTTTAGAGAAGCCAATGAACCCATCAGTCATGTTTTTGGACTGCGGGAAGAAGCCGGAGTACCTGGAGAGAACCCACGCATGCACAGGGAGAACATGCAAACTCCATGCAGGGTCGGGAATCAAACCTGGAACCTTTTTCTACAAGGCAGCAGTCTTAGTCTTACTCACTACTGTATTTCACTGTGCAGCTACAGCAATACTATTTGTTAATAAATAACATTTCCAAAATAACTTTTCGGTTTCTGATCCTTTGGCTCAGTGCAAAACAATCTAAAGACTGTTAATTTCGACATGGTTTTGTGGCAGATAAGTAGATTTTGCTCTACAAGAAAGCCGTTGTGATTAATGGAGCCTAGGTGGAAGTTCAATTGAAGAAACTCATTAATCATTACCTACCATAATAGGCCAATCAGCTTTGAACCAGGCTTCCACTGAAGCCAATCAGCATCCAGAGTTTCTCTTAAAAGGTTCACCAAATAAGCATCTCAGTCTGCTACTGAAGCGCATGCAGTTGTTGCACTATGTCAGACTTTGACTCAGACTACCCTGATTCAACCCACCTCCATCCCCTTCTCCACCATCTTAACTAAAGCTTCATCAAGGTTGTCATTCCTCCTGGTATCTTACTTCATTACCTGTCCCATCTAAACCCGTCCGGCAGAAGGCCGCCATATTGAGCCTGGTTCTGCCAGAGGTTTCTTCCCAAAGGGGAGTTCTTCCTCTACACTGTCGCTTCATGCATGCTCATCCTGGACAGGTTCATGCAACCTGTGTTATCCAAGCTGGACTTCCATCTTCAGGTCCCCTAGTAAAGCACTAGTATCAGCTTCCTCTGGATCTCTCCATACAGCAGTGATGGACTGACGGACTTCATCCATCTCCACTCCACAACCAGTTACAGGCCTGGGGGGAAACATCCCTGTTCTGTACTCCTGTTCTTGCCAACCAAAGCAAAGCTCAGTGCCAATGTTTCCCACCAAGGTCTGCGTGCCAAAGACTCAGACACCATCAATTTTATTGTCAATAACATTTGTCTAATTGTATTTTGTACCCATTAAACAACCAATTTCTGCTCCCTACCTCATACATTTAATCACAAGTCCTTTTCCTGATTTCATCTGTTTTGGAACATTCAAAAGTAATTGGCCAAAGCGATACTGTCAGGTCTAAGCACCTAAAACATCATACATACATACATACATACTGGGAAAGAAAAAGGCACATAGACAATTAGTTTAGTTTTACTCGCAAGGAGAGTAGGAAGGGACTGCACAGTACAGGTCTCCACCCCACTCTGCCCGTCTTCTGCTTTCTCTTCGATATTAAAGTCAGGAGATGTCCCAAATACACAAGCTGAGGTTGTACTAAGGGAAAGGGAACAAAATGGTCTTACTTTGAACCTCAGCACATACAGGTGCTGGTCATAAAATTAGAATATCATGAAAAAATAGATTGATTTCAGTAATTCCATTTAAAAAGTGAAACTTGTATATTATATTCATACATTACATACAAACTCATATATTTCAGATGTTTATTTTGTTTAATTTTGATTACAAATGACAACAAATGAAAATCTCAAATTCATCATATCAGAAAATTAGAATATTACTGAAGACCAATAAAAACAAAGGATTTATAGAAATGTTGGCCAACTGAAAAGTATGAACATGAAAAGTATGAGCATGTACAGCACTCAGTATTTAGTTGGGCCTCCTTTGGCCTGTATTACTGCAGCAATGCGGCGTGGCATGGAGTCGATCAGTCTGTGGCACTGCTCAGGTGTTATGATAGCCCAGGTTGCTCTAATAGTGGCTTTTAGCTCTTCTGAATTGTTGGGTCTGGTGTATTGCATCTTCTTCTTCACAATACCCCATAGATTTTCTATGGGGTTAAGGTCAGGAGAGTTTGCTGGCCAATTAAGAACAGGGATACCATGGTCCTTCAACCAGGTACTGGTAGCTTTGGCACTGTGTGCAGGTGCCAAGTCCTGTTGGAAAATGAAATCTGCATCTCCAAAAAGTTGGTCAGCTGCAGGAAGCATGAAGTGCTCTAAAACTTCCTGGTATGTGGCTGCGTTGACCCTGGACCTCAGAAAACACAATGGACCAACACCAGCAGATGACATGGCACCCCAAACCATCACTGACTGTGGAAACTTTACACTGGACTTCAAGCAACGTGGATGAAGTGCCTCTCTTCTTTTCCTCCAGACTCTGGGACCTTGATTTCCAAAGGAAATGCAAAATTTACTTTCATCAGAGAACATGACTTTGGACCACTCACCAGCAGTCCAGTCCTGTTTCTCTTTAGCCCAGGCAAGACGCTTCTGACGCTGTCTGTGGTTCAAGAGTGGCTTGACACAAGGAATGCGACAGCAGAAACCCATGTCTTTCATACGTCTGTGTGTGGTGGTTCTTGAAGCACTCACTCCAGCTGCAGTCCACTCTTTGTGAATCTCCCCCACATTTTTGAATGGGTTTTGTTTCACAATCCTCTCCAGGGTGCGGTTATCTCTCTTGCTTGTACACTTTTTTCGACCACATCTTTTCCTTCCCTTCGCCTCTCTATTAATGTGCTTGGACACTGAGCTCTGTGAACAGCCAGCCTCTTTAGCGATGACCTTTTGTGTCTTGCCCTCCTTGTGCAAGGTGTCGATGGTCGTCTTTTGGACAACTGTCAAGTCAGCAGTCTTCCCCATGATTGTGTAGCCTATAGAACTAGACTGAAAGACCATTTAAAGGCTTTTGCAGGTGGTTTGAGTTAATTAGCTGATTAGAGTGTGGCACCAGGGGCCATCAATTTTGAACCTTTTCACAATATTCTAATTTTCTGATATGATGAATTTGAGATTTTCATTTGTTGTCATTTGTAATCATCAAAATTAAACAAAATAAACATCTGAAATATATGAGTTTGTATGTAATGTATGAATATAATATACAAGTTTCACTTTTTAAATGGAATTACTGAAATCAATCTATTTTTTCATGATATTCTAATTTTATGACCAGCACCTGTATGTGAAAATAAAGCATGTGTTTTTTTTTTTTTTTACAATTAAATTTGTTCCAAGAACACATGTTTAGAATAAACATGTGATAGAGGATGTTCAGGCCTCTTTTACAACCCGTCCGTTGCATGGCCTTTATCTGGAACAATCTTTAGCAAGAGTTGATAAGCGATGAATCACACATTATACAACATAATAGTTCATTAGTACACAACCTATGAAACACAAACGGAGTATAAATAAAATATTTCTAACAGATACATATTACCTGCCTCCGAAAGTTAACCACAGTAACAAGTGAGATGGCAGAAGATGCTATTAGAAGCCACATGTGGTAGCAGCAGCTATGCATATGTCCTCCTGAACTGCCATGTTTATGTTGGTTCTGCTGGTGGCAGCTTTTGCTTTCATCACAGGTATATGTCCAACCTTAAACTATTGTAGCGTGATTGGCCAACCTATTTTTGGTCACAAATACCAAAAGAACTAAGCTTGTAGATAAGACTATTTATGATTGACATAAACTGTGGGATGTCTCCTTTCTGGAGTTTTGGATTTCAGCCTCCTGCATTCCTCACATGTAGGTTATAAACTAACATGAAGATAATCAATCAATTGAATCATAATTGTTCATGCTGCCATCTTAATTTATTAAAATCTATATTTTTTCCATTTTCTCCCTAACTGTCCTGTTTCCTTTTTGAGTCATAACTGCTATTAACTATTCTTTTCTGTGTATCACTTTCCTGTCTGATTATTCTAGCCCAGCGACACAGATGTGAGTGAAAAAATTTATTTATTTTGAATTTATATATTTTTTTCCATTTCAAATATAGTTCCCGGTAACTTATTTTCTTATCCTTTTAGTGCTCAAATGTCGAGGGTGTGTGTCCTCTGAGTTGTGAAAGTAATGTAAGTATATAATTGAAAGTGTTTCTCTTTGCAAAGCTCATCATTTTGGCTTTAAAAACAAATAAGTATATTAATTGATTTTGCTTATTACTTAATAGGACCTAAGTTGTTTCCTAGTCGACAACAATGGCTTCATCCTACTGTCCAAAGAGAGGAATGATGTAAGTTTCTTCAACTATTATGACCTTTTTGAAATCCCAGTCTATCTTTGGGCAATACAAAGGAAGTTGTAAAGTATTTCTATAAAAACCATGGTAAGAAAATAACCTACAGCAAAGTAAAAACATCTAATATAAATTTTCTAAGTAAGAGTGAAAAATAAAGGAAAGGTGTGCATCTATTTTTCTATGTAATGGGATTAATTTTGAAACATAATAAAATAACTATTTAAAGTATGACTCAATTGCAAATAAATCAGTTGACTTATAAAAGGCCAATTCACAACACATCATCCCAAGGAAATTTACAGCAAAAATTTAACGAAACATGCAGACATTTTTCTTAGCGGTTTTCTGTCAAAGGAAGCCCTGCTGATTGCACTGAGCCATTGAATGTACTGGAGCCACTCCTCCTTGATGTGTACTGTATGCAGCAACAGCTGACGATTGTATTGTGTTGTCAACCCTGCAGCAATCCCTTCTGCTTAGACAGACTAGGGGTTCAAGAGGACAGAAGGAGATACAAACGGAACACAGAAGCACTGATCTATAAATACTTTCTATTTTGGAAAAGGACAATACTAAACTAGCCCCATAGGTGGCTCTGTCTAGAAAATAAACAGTTGAACAGATTAGCTCTGAGCTGTTTTTTATGTTAAAAGGATAAAATAAAGTACATATAATTAGTCAAAGTAAAAGCTAAGCCCTTAGCCATTATTATAACAGAAACAGGGACAAACACTGCAAAACAGGCCCAATATTATCTCAGTTGGTTATACAGCTAAACACAACTCTAGGCCTGATGTACAGTAGTAACTACAACAAGGAAAAATACAGAACATAGAGTTAGAAGTAGAACTAAAAAATAATGTAAATATATAAGCATTATCAAAGCTATTTTCAACCTAGTCAACAGGGTGTCTGCATCATAGAATAACACTCCACAGGAAAGAACAGATCTGCTTCCTAGTCTACTTTTAAAAATTCTAGGACCAACCATCAAATAACAGCTGCATAGGCCTTTTTTAGTGTCATACCTGATTGAGATATATATCAATTTTTTGCAATATTTCAGGGATAAAGGTAAGAAACTTTAGAAACCGTTTAAATTTGCGATTTAAATGACATACCCTTATTAAAAAAGTATCACAACAGAGTTTTACGTTGTTATCGGAGGCCACTATGATGTCATCCAGATGCAGCGAATGAACAAGCAGCTTGTTTTTCAAATACTCTGGTCCAAACACAATACCTTCTGTCTTCTCTGAATTCAAAGCAGAAAGTTCAAAGTCATGCAGGATTTTAGGTCATTGAGAAATTGTAAATATAAGTATTTTAGGTCTAAAAATTGAAATAACTTCCATGATGTCTGAATATTTTAACAATTAAAAGCATATATATTGAAGAGAATAACCTTCGCAATAATTTCTGTGGTATTCCATAAGTAACCCTAGAGGAGGGGTCAAGCCAAGGACCCCCAAACTGATGGTGAGATGGAGCGGGGACCCCCTAATTTTATATATGCAAATGTGTGCGTGTGTGTGCAAATAATCCATTTTTTTGTTTCCTTTTTCTTTTCACTCATTATCGGGTCGTGGTGGATGATTGGATGGCATGTAATACAGAAGAAACAATTCTGACTGTTTTATAATGAAAATCTTTGATCTGGACTTATTTTGGATGTTAATACATCTCATATCTGTTACAGCCGTAACATTGGGGCTGTTCAGAAAACACCTGGCACTAAGGCCCTGGATGCATAGGTCTAATTGCTTATGAATCAGAAGTGGAGGCAAATCATCAAACCAACGCTGTACCATTACCTAAATGTTAAACACAGGACTATTTAAAGAATTACACATAGGCTGCCATGATTTACACTTATAAATCCTCTCCCGCTGTTGTGGTATTGAAGGATGTAATCAGTTTTACCACATTAATCATCTGCAGAGATGGCAAAAGTACTCACTTTCCGTACTTGAGTGAAAGTACAGATACTTGTGTTAAAAAATACTCTGGTAAAAGTGGAAGTACTGATTAAACTTCTTTACTCAAGTAAAAGTAACAAAGTACAGGCTTATAAATTTACTAAAGTATAAAAGTAAAAGTACAAACCACTTTTGTCTACATTTTACATGGATATCTGCCAATAGGACTAGATCTCCGTTGTGTTCATTTTCAATCATCTCGTCGTCCATACTACTATGCTAACACCAACCGTCACCAAGCTGCAATGATTTCCCGCGAATGAATACCGCCGAATCTGTCGATTCATCTTGTAGTGGTGCGTCAAATGCAACGTAGATTCCCATCCAATTAGATTGAATTTGATATTGATGACGTTAAAAATAACGGTAACTCCATTGAAATGATTCAAAACTAAAGTAACGAGCCAATTTTTTTAAATGTAAGGAGTAGAAAGTACAGATATTTGTGTAAAAATGTAAGGAGTAGAAGTAAAAAGTCGCCATGAAAATATGTAGTAAAGTAAAGTAAAAATATCAAAAAAATCTACTTGAGTACAGTAACGAAGTATTTGTACTTCGTTACTTCCCATCTCTGATCATCTGGTTATCATGAGAAATTGAGAAAATGAACTTGTTTTCTCGAGAAAACCACAGGGAAAAGATTCAGAGGGACAAGATCACTCTCAGCTTCCGTAGTTACCCAGAAGGTTTGCATTGCCTCACATTTTCAACACAGTTCCAGACTCTCCACTCAACTAATGTCTATCAACTGTCTACTGGGTGAAGGAGCAGCATGTAATGGTCTACAGAAAAGAGTTTACCACCACTGGCAGGAAGAGGGGACCTTAATCTCTACTATGGTTTCCAAACATGTTCTGTGTGTTTTTCCAGAGTTCTCCTAAGAGTTCAGGAAGTACCATTGCTATACTGTGAGATATTTCTTCTCATTCGGCTGTTCTCTTTATTTCGCCCGATTATCTCTTCTGGTTTGTTTCTTATTACTCCACTAATGGCTCAGTACATAAACCAGTTGCAACACTTGCTCTCTGAAACGGAAGGCTCAATGGTGTTGATTGCATAGCAAATGTTGAAACAGATAAAATACATTACTACAACAGGGTAAAAAGGCTATGAGGCACTCTGTAATTATAAATGGCAAGAATTCAGCACAAGATCACTGTTCTGACTGAGTGATTACTTTTCGCTCTCAGCTCATAAGTAAAACCTCCTCAATGTCTGGCCACTGTCAGTCACAAATCCTTAGGTATGTCTCCCATCAGCATCAAGCACCCAGCTTAATGACCCTACCCTGCTCCATTGACACCCTAAGAGGTTTAGCCTCACTGGAAGTGACATTTTATTATTATTATTTTTTTTTTTATCCTTTATTTAACCAGGTAATACCCATTGAGATTAAAAATCTCTTTTGCAAGGGAGACCTGGCCAAGATAGGCATCAAAATTACATCACATCACATCATTACATATGTACAAAGACACACACATAAAAGCCAAATATGCACTTACATTAAAAGTTAAATTAAAACATTGACATGTGAGGGAGTCTAACTCAAAACATCTAATTCTCAGCTTAAAAGTATTCAAAGGAACCAATTTACTAAGTTTCAAGTTATTTTGCAGCAAATTCCATGTAAAAGGGGCAGAGTAAGCAAAGGCCTTTTTACCCAGCTCAGTACTGACATGCAGTGCCTTACAAAAGTTTTCAGCCCCCTTGAAGTTTTTGACCTCCTGCTACATTCCAGGCTTCAAACAAAGATATAAAATTGTAATTTTTCAATATTTTAAAAACAAGTGGGGCATGAAATGGAGCATGCAAAATGAATCGGCCCCTTTACTTTCGGTGCAGCAAGATCTACAGCTGAGGTGATAGACTCTGTCCATAGAACAACAATCAGTCGTATACTGCACAAATCTGGCCTTTATGGAAGAAAGACGTTTCTTAAAGAAATCCATAAAAAGTCTTGTTTAAAGTTTATCACAAGCCAATTGGGAGACCCAGTAAACAGGTGGAAGAAGGTGCTCTGCTCAGATGAAACCAAAATCGAACTTTTGTAATAATGCAAAACATTATGTTTGCCGTAAAAGCAACACAGCTCATCACTCTGAACACACCATCCCCAATGTAAAACATGGTGGTGGCAGCATCATGGTCTGCTTTTCTTCAGGAGGGACAGGGAAGATGGTTAAAATTGATTAGAAGATGGGTGTAGCCAAATACCGGACCATTCTGGAAGGAAACCTTTTAGTCTGCAAATGACCTGAGACTGGGCAGGGATTTATCTTCCAACAAGACAATAATCCAAAACATAAAAGATAAATCCACAATGGAATGGTTCATAAATAAACATATCCAGGTGTTAGAATGGCCAAGTCATAGTCCAGACCTGAATCTAATCGAGGATCTATGGAAATAACTGAAAACTGCTGTTCAAAAATGTTCCCCATCCAACCTCTCTGAGTTCCAGTGGTTTTAAAAGGAACAATAGGCAAAAATGTCAGTCTCTCGATGTGCAAAATAGATAGACCCATACCCCAAGCAACTTGAACATGTAATCGCAGCAAAAGGTGGCGCTAAAAAGTGCTAACTGAGGAGGGCTGAGTAATTTTGCAGTTTTCTTTATTTTTTATATTTTTATATCCCATAAATGTATTTTTACTTCAAGTGGTTCCACTTGTTTTTGATTCTTTACAAAGAATTAAAATTTTATATCTATATGTTTGAAGTCTGAAATGTGGCAAAAAGTTGGAAAGTTCCAGAGGGCCAAATACTTTTACATCAGCATAGAGCAAGACTTAAAACCTCAACAGAGATTTCTCATAAAGACAGACAGGCGGCACCCTGCTGCTGCAGAGTGGAGGGGGGGCCAGCAGCTGAATAATGTGCAACATACTCAGATGCGTTATAGGGCACATTTAATGCAGTTTAATAACTACATTTATAAAGTTTGACAATGCATATTCTACCAATAATTTTACAAAATTTACAGTAGAAATTTAACCTTCCTGATATTCAATG